GCCGCTACAGGTCGCGAGGTGCACAAAGATTATCCAGGACGAGAAGGACTCGGACAAGAGCAAATATGTGATCAACGTCAAGCAAATTGCCAAGTTCGTTGTCAACCTAGGAGAGCGCGTTAGTCCGACAGATATCGAGGAAGGCATGAGAGTTGGGTAAGCTATCTAGTGGATTATACGTCATTTTTCGGTGCTGACTAGGCTTCACAGCGTCGACCGTAATAAGTACCAGATCATGCTGCCCTTGCCGCCAAAGATTGACCCCAGTGTGACAATGATGACTGTTGAGGATAAGCCCGATGTGACCTATGGCGATGTCGGTGGATGCAAAGAACAGATCGAGAAGCTACGAGAAGTTGTTGAGATGCCCTTGCTATCGCCAGAACGTTTCGTGAACCTCGGTATCGACCCACCCAAGGGTGCTCTACTCTATGGACCCCCAGGAACCGGAAAGACCCTCTGCGCGCGTGCAGTCGCCAACCGAACGGATGCTACATTCATTCGTGTCATTGGCAGTGAACTGGTGCAGAAGTACGTTGGTGAGGGTGCTCGGATGGTCCGCGAACTTTTCGAGATGGCCCGTACCAAGAAGGCGTGCATCATTTTCTTTGACGAAATTGATGCCGTTGGTGGTGCACGTTTTGACGATGGTGCTGGTGGCGACAACGAGGTGCAGCGAACCATGCTGGAACTGATCACACAGCTGGATGGTTTCGACTCTCGTGGTAACATCAAGGTTATGTTCGCTACCAATCGTCCGTCCACACTTGACCCAGCCCTGATGCGTCCTGGTCGTATCGATCGTAAGATCGAATTCTCACTGCCGGATGTCGAGGGTCGCGCCAACATCCTCCGAATTCATGCCAAGAGCATGTCTGTCGAGCGAGATATTCGATGGGAGTTGATCTCGCGATTGTGCCCCAATGCTACAGGTGCCGAACTTCGCAGCGTTGCGACTGAGGCAGGTATGTTTGCTATTCGGGCTCGCCGCAAGGTGGCTACCGAGAAGGACTTCTTAGCCTCTGTTGAGAAGGTGATTAAGGGCAACCTCAAGTTCAACTCGACGGCGACATATATGCAGTACAATTAGAGATTCTGACTTTCTTGCATTATGGATGGGATGTACGATCACTATTGTCTTGTTACGTGGGAGTTTCTTCCTGGTCAATGCAATATAATTTCAATCAAATTCCCTCTAACTTCCAATGTAGGTATGATCTGTACTTTCTCGATTGGCACGACTGGTCATGTGACTTCACGTGACCATCTTGATATAGAGGGACAAAGCATGTAGTATATGCAATTGAAAAGTACGACATCCAGCAATTGTATGTCATTCTACTAGGAAAAGTGGGACTAAAATCAGAAAGGGTAGCTAGATATAGCTTCAAGACTCCATAATAATTGATCCGAGCGGCTCTCTTCAATCTCGTTGATGCTTTACCGTATCCTTCCGGCAGCTTATGCTGGCCGGCAAAATGATCGTGGACACGTGCCATCTGACCAATCACGGACAGCCGGCTGCCCGAGGTTGATTTTCATTGCGCAGCCGCTGATTGGATAGTTCGGCCCCGGTCCTCCCCGTCGGCAACTGGGAGAATGATTATGTCAGCGTGAAACTACCAACTGCAACCCGATTCCAGATCAAAGTGTTGCCCTGGAAGGAGTTCGCTATTCCACAATCTCCCCTCTTTGCTAAGCCCGTCACCGACCCCCGGTGTTCTGCTATTCTCTTGGTTAATTAGGGAATCCCAATTCTCTCTTGACCCGCCATCATGAGCTCCATGAGCCTGCGGAGCCTAGCTCCTGCATCCAAAGTGAGTAGCCGTGCAACGATTTTCGGTCGGTCCGTAAAACCCGCAGCATACTCATACGTCTATTTTTCTAGGTTTCCCGCATCTTGAGGGACCAGAGACGTCTTTTCTCATCTTCAAGGCCCGCAGGTACGCATTGGAACACTCGAATTATCAACCCACGAATGCACCACTAATTACTACTGCGCCAGCCCGGATATGGTCTAACCAGCCTTTGCGCGCTAAGGAGTCCAATGGCTACTTGACTGACAAGTACCCTATCATTGTAAGACAATAACGCTCTCTAGATCGAAAGGAGATTGATTGGGTCTAACTTGCGCAGGATCACGAGTACGATGCCGTCGTTGTCGGTGCCGGTGGTGCCGGTCTGCGCGCTGCTTTCGGTCTGGCCGAGGCTGGATTCAAGACTGCTTGTGTTTCTAAGCTGTTCCCCACGAGAAGTCACACTGTCGCTGCCCAGGGTGGTATCAACGCTGCCCTTGGAAAGTAGGTCTCTCCCACAACCGCCGAAGGGTAGTGAATCGCGTCTAACTAGATTTTAGCATGCACGAGGATGACTGGAGATGGCACATGTACGATACTGTGAAGGGTTCTGATTGGCTTGGTGACCAAGATGCCATTCACTACATGACCCGCGAGGCTCCGGCCAGTGTTCGCGAGCTTGAAGGTTACGGTTGCCCCTTCTCACGTACCGAGGATGGACGTATTTACCAGCGTGCTTTCGGTGGTCAATCCAAGGATTTCGGTAAGGGTGGTCAGGCCTACCGTTGCGCTGCCGCCGCCGACCGTACTGGTCACGCCCTTCTGCACACCCTCTACGGACAGTCCCTCCGCCACAACACCAACTACTTCATCGAATATTTCGCCCTTGATCTGCTGATGGAGAATGGTGAATGCCGTGGTATCATTGCATACAACCAGGAGGATGGTACTCTGCACCGATTCAAGGCCCACCACACCGTTCTTGCCACCGGTGGTTACGGACGCGCCTACTTCTCCTGTACCTCCGCCCACACTTGCACTGGTGACGGTATGGCTATGGTCGCTCGTGCTGGTCTGCCTAACCAGGATTTGGAATTCGTTCAGTTCCACCCTACTGGTATCTACGGTGCCGGTTGTCTGATCACCGAGGGCTCCCGTGGTGAGGGTGGTTACCTGCTCAACTCCGAGGGTGAGCGTTTCATGGAGCGTTATGCTCCTACCGCAAAGGATCTTGCCTCCCGTGACGTTGTCTCCCGCTCCATGACACTAGAGATCCGTGAGGGCCGTGGTGTCGGTCCCGAGAAGGACCACATCTACCTTCAGCTCAGCCACTTGCCCGCTGAGCTCCTGCACGAGCGTTTGCCCGGTATCTCCGAGACTGCCTCGATTTTCTCAGGTGTTGATGTTACCAAGCAGCCGATTCCTGTCCTTCCCACCGTCCACTACAACATGGGTGGTATCCCCACCAAGTACACTGGTGAGGTTCTGGATGTGGATGAGAACGGCCAGGAGAAGATTGTTCCCGGTCTGTACGCCTGCGGTGAGGCCGCATGTGTGTCTGTCCACGGTGCTAACCGTCTGGGTGCCAACTCCCTGCTTGATTTGATTGTCTTCGGTCGTGCTGTGTCTCACACTGTCCGTGACAAATCCACCCCTGGCAAGCCCCACAAGGAGCTTGCTTCCGATGCCGGTGCTCAGTCCATCAAGGACCTCGACTTTGCCCGTACCGCCGAGGGCCCTAAGTCGACCTTCGAAATCCGCAATGCTATGCAGAGGACCATGCAGACCGATGTCAGCGTCTTCCGTACCCAGGAGAGCTTGGACGAGGGTGTTGAGAAGGTCAACAAGGTTGACCAGTTGTACGCCCAGGTCGGCACCAAGGACCGCAGCATGATCTGGAACTCAGACTTGGTGGAGACCCTTGAACTCCGCAACCTGCTGACTTGCGCGTACGTATCCCTTACTAACAGCTTTGTTTAGGATCGCTTGCTAACATATATCTCATAGTACCCAAACTGCTGCTTCTGCTGCCGCTCGTAAGGAGTCTCGTGGTGCACACGCCCGCGAGGATTACCCCGACCGTGATGACGAGAAGTGGATGAAGCACACTCTCTCCTGGCAGAAGGAGCCCCACGGCGAGGTCAAGCTGGGCTACCGTGCCGTTGAGGCTAACACCTTGGATGAGTCGGAGTGCAAGGCCGTCCCTCCTTTCAAGCGTACCTACTAAGCTCGCTATTTTGGAACCGACCCACAGAGAATACGGAGGATACCACGGAGTTGTTTCAGATGTACCCTATCGACGCCCTCTCCCAACCTCGTGGTTTTTGAGGTGGAACTAGGGTTTGTGGCGTCGAAAGGCCCCGTTTCAAGGGGAAACCATCTATGAAAAAGACCTTTTTTTTATTGACTATGTTACTTACCATCCTGTATAGCCATATTTTTTTCCTTTTATCTTAACAGGCGAAGAGTTGGTGTACTGAGTGCTTTTTTCCCCCTCAGTTTGTCTCATATGATTGGATTTATTACTTCTTAATTTTTTTTCCCCTGTTCTACCCATAGGTATGGAGTATCTATTGTAGTTTTCTCCTACTCGTATGTAGACATTCCGCTTCTTTGTCTGATTCGGCTAAAAAAATCCCCGGGGAATCAGCCCCCTTGGCCTATCAAAGAACCCAAAACACTAGCCTCTTCCCCAGTCTTACTTTAAGCTTTGGTTGATTTCTTACTGGTTTTTTTTCCTTAACTAACTCACTTGATTCTACGAACATTTATCAAACGGAGCATATCCAAACTAATCATGCCTTTATCAAAGAGCCAAGGGGCCTGCTGGGCTGTTTACAAAGTACTTGAGCTAGAAGAAAACCAACACTACACAGGGAATCCTATTGGTGGCAGCATCAATCTATCTATATTTGGTATTTCATTGCCACCCCGCACCTCTAACAACAAAGAAATCTCTTCGTGTCTTCTTTCAGGAACAGGGTCGTGATCTTCTTCGAGAGTGAATGAATGCTTCTTGCAAGAATATCTCTCGTAGCCTAGCCGATCTATTTGATTTCTCATGTCAATTCTGCTAGCAGATCCTCAAATCTCCTAAACGTTGAAAGGACGAGATCTCTAACTTCTAGTTGTGCAATTTTATGCGTATCTTGTGATTTGATCGAGTTGTCTTCGGATTCAGTGGATGAGACTTGATCTTTGAGTATGGTGTTCGAGATGGAGTCTCTCGAGTCCCTCGGGTCTCTTATTCCTCGAGAATCTACTGCTTGCACTGGGGGCAAGCTGTGGTATGTTTGCACGGCAGGCAACTTTCGTGGATGCTGCTCAAGTGATCCGTGTACGACGGGCATTTGTCCAGATGACGGCGAGGATGATGCGAGCACAACGTCGACCAAGTCTTCTACCCTCTCATTAACCACAGTTGGGGTTATTGGTCTGTTGCCGCCCGATGTAACGCCGAGAACCACCACCTCCTCTATTTCTACTTTGTCGGAATCAAGTACCAGTTCTACGACGGCACTTGTGCCATCTGCCACTGCTTCTTCTATTACTTCAGAAATATCAGCAGGTTCGAAGACATCCACAGCCTCAGAGACATCCCCAGTCTCTCTAGTAACACTCACAGCTTCAGACGTTTCTACAAGTTCTGACACATCCGCGGCCACAGGAGTCACAGGTTCGGTTCTGGCTGCTAGCGCGTCTGCAACCAGTACTTCATCCAGCACCCCAGGTGGCGCATCCTCAAACCTGGGCGCAATAATCGGCGGTGTTGTTGGAGGGGTTGCAGCCTTGGTCATATGTGCCATTCTGCTGTTCTGTTGTCGCCGCAAGAGAAAGTATGGGAAGCGCGAGAATGGGTCAACTCTCGTCTCATGGTATCCACGCGGATTGAGTCGAAAAAACCAAGCAACTGCATCCGAAATGAAAGGGCCCCTATCACCAACAGACAGCGAAGCAAATAGTGAGCAAAAACATATCCAACGGCCAACCGGCACTTGAGGCAAGATAACATTTTACTGATGCCAAAAATTGAATTAACAATAGACTCACATGGCGCGGTCTCCCCATTCACTGCAGATAACACACGGGGAAGCATGATTCTCACCCCAGACCTAGCATTGGTGTCATCCTCAACCAGCCTTATCGCACAATCTCCTCACAAAACGCCCCCAATCCCACCAACCAAACCGCATTCAAACGAGCTCTTCGCTTCAGTCCCTCCACGCCAAGGGTATACCCCAGAGCTACAAGACACAGGCTTCCATCGGCTGCGCGCTGAACTAGCATCCCACTCCCAGAGCGAGCTAATCAACGTACCCATGGAGAAACGGCAGCGACAGCAGAATCATATCAGGTCGAAGAGTGGTCCACAAGCTTGGGAATCACCTGCATTGGTGTCAATAGCCAGTACAAATGCGAGCCTGGGAAGAGGAACCGGCAATGGCAGCGGCCACAGCTATAGCAATAGCGACGGCAGTAGTTCAGGGAGAAACCAAGCTGGACGGGTTGTCACGGCCGAGGGGGTTGTCCTGGGCGCGAATTTGGATCGATACTCCAATGGCATGGAGATTGGAGAGTCCCAGGCCCAGGAGGATAGAGGGAGGAGCGCGGAGCGCGGCGAGACAGATCATGTTATGAGTTTTATGCAGTATGGTGGGAGGCCAGAGGATCGCGGCTTGGGGAACGGGCTTGGAATCACAAGTAACAATACTTCAAATCCGCAGGGACGTGGGAGCAGTGCGTCCAGGTCGAGGCCTAGGCCCACGGAGCGCAGTTTGGAACACGATATTACGGCTGCGGATGGTACTGTTGACGTCCCGCCTGCCTATCAAGCGGAAGAGGGCGCCCCTGGGCACGACGTTAAGTCTCCATCTGGAACGATGGGTATGAGCCTAAGAGGGGCCTGAGAGATTCGATTTATTTTCGGTTTTAATTGTGGAGGATAATGCTGGGGTATTTCTATGTTAGGGTTGGAGTTCCAGTTTAACCTTTTTGATGAAATTTGAACGACGGTCCAACAGGTATGTTGTATGATATTCCCTCCTTTATTAGCACCATATAGCATGACCATTTTATTTTTAGAAGACACCTAAACAAGTCAATTCATATATTCATTTTTGTCTAACCAAAAGCCTAACATCTGTTTTCTGTCATATATCGTACCCAAAAGATTTTACAGTAACTTCTTCAGCACAGCGGTCTGCTCGAGGACTGCGCGCTTGCTGGTTCCGCCAATGGCGTCCTTCAGCTCGACGGCACGCTCGTAGTCAAGGCAAGTCTGGACATCAGCGCCGAAACGAGCATCGATTTCCTGGAGCTGCTGCAGAGTGAGCGTGTCCATGGGAACATTGGTGTTCTCGGCCAGAGCGACGACACGGCCGGAGATGTGGTGTCCCTCGCGGAAAGGCACGCCCTTGCGGACAAGGTAGTCGGCAATTTCGGTAGCCAGCATCTCTGGGGCCAGGGCGGCGACCATCTTCTCGGGGTTGACGGTGAGGGTAGAGAGCACACCGGTTGCAATCTGGATACTGTCGCTGACAGTTTTGACGTGGTCGAGCATGGGCTCAACGCTCTCCTGCAGATCCTTGTTGTAAGTAGTAGGCAGGCCCTTGATTGTGCACATCAGGCCGGCCATCTGGCCGAAGGCACGGCCAGCCTTGCCGCGGAGCAGCTCCAGGCTGTCTAAATTTTGGAACATATATCAGTATGCTGCTTCAGATTACGTCAACAGAATTCAAACTTACCTGCGTTCTTCTTCTGGGGCATGAGCGACGATCCAGTCGAGTAGGCATCCGACAGACGGACAAAGCCGAACTCCAGACAGCTGTAGATGATCAGATCCTCGGCCCAGCGGGAGATCTTCAGCATGAACGAGCTGCCCCACTGCATGGTCTCCATAGCGAAATCGCGGTCCGCAACAGCGTTCATGGAGTTGTACAGCAAGCCATCGAAGCCAAGCTCCTTGGCCATAGCCTCACGATCAATGTTGAAGCAGTTACCGGCAAGAGCGCCGGTACCGAGGGGGCTCTTGTTGACGCGACGAATAACCTCACGCAGACGCTCCAACTCGCTAGCGAAGGCAGTGGCGTGCGACAGGATCCAGTGGGACCAGCGGACAGGCTGAGCCTTCTGCAAGTGGGTGTAGCCGGGCATGAGATAAGCGATATCATTCTCAGCGCGGGCAATGGAGACCTTGATGAGATCGCAGAGGTGCTTCTCGATCAAACGGAGCTCGTCACGGAGCCACAGGCGCATATCCGTGGCGATCTGCTCGTTACGCGACCGACCGGTGTGCAGCTTGCCGCCGATTTCCTTGCCGATGATCTCACCCAGACGGCGCTCATTGGCAGTGTGGATGTCCTCGTCGTTCTCCTTGGCCACGAAGGTGTTTGATTGCCATTCCTGGGCGATCTGCTTGAAACCACGCTCGATTTCGGCGAACTCATGCGGTGTGAGGAGACCGGAATTGGTGTTGGCGCGGGCGAAGGCAATTGAGCCAGCAATGTCCTGCTTCCAGAACACGCGATCGTAGGGGAGCGACGTGTTGTACTGCACCATGAGGGGGTCAAGGCCCTCTGGAGTTTTTTGGTATGAGTCAGTGGGTTTTTTGGCGGGATGGAGGGGATGCGGTACTCACGGGTGAAGCGGCCTCCCCAGAGCATGTTCTCAGCGACGCCTTTAGGGTTACTCATTTTGAAAGGGAAATTGGTCAATGGCTTGAAATTGAGAGAAAATAGAGAAGTTCAAAGTTGAAGTTCCCCCCTGCTCGTGGAATCGCATCCGATCACCCGCTAAACCTAATTGGGAATATCTGGGGACAATGTTTACTATGAGTCAACACTATTTGACAATTCCCCCAACACCTACATTCTTATGATTTTCGACTAAACTAGCTTAATAATCCTCTGTTATTCCTCCCTAATCCATAGTATCTCCTTCTTGGCTAGCCTAGAAGAACCGAAGCCGACGAGGCCCCCCAATACACTAGTTTGTTCTCATTACCCTCCAGTGAATTCAGCGCCATATATCCGAACCCGAATATTAAAAGGGTGTCATGGTGTATATAGCGTTCAACAAGCCCGGGGATTCAATTTCCTTTCCCGGTATATTTGCTTAGGGATTCTCAAAGCTGCATGGGCTCACCTTCACTTTTGCAGACATATACCTAATCCGGGAGGAGTCAATTTATATATATGTGTAAATATTAGAGGTTTAAAACATAATTTACTCTCAAATTGGCCACCTATTGTAAAATCCGGCAGGTATCTCTGCTAGCAACGTAAAGATAACCCAGGTGCATCTATATATACTAGACGCAATTTCTAACATGTAGCTGTATTCTGTTTATAGAGACAAAGATCAAGCAGACCAGAACCCTTAGTCATGTAGTTCAATGACAGCCCAAGTGACAGTCGTCAAAACCTGACCCCCAATCTTTTCCATGACCCTCCGACTCGCCTTATTATACCCAGCCACATCAGTATGCGCCCAAGCCCCAGCGCGCTCTTGAGTCTGACTGTCCTCAGAGTTGAGTCTTTTGGCCCCAAAAACACCATCTACTGACATCCCTCGGCGCATGACAGCCATGGATAATGGAACTGCAAGCCCGCGACCCCGATGCTCCGGCTCTACATGCAACGTCGCCAGAGCTCCATCCATGCCCAAGAACGCCCATGCAATAGGCACTTCATCAGCACCACTAGACCCAGAATCAAAATAAACTGCCATACCTGGCATTTTAGATAGCTGTGTTCGTGGCCGGGGGATATTTGTCCGGCTCTGCACAAGATCTAGATGTTTGCTTAGAACACCCTCCCTCCCTTCTCGATCATGGAACCTATATCCAGAGGGGAGGGACAGATCGGCGGACGGAAGATCTGCAGCTGTATACTCTATGCTGGGGCTGAAGTTAGATCTGCGAAAGAAGTATTTGTAATAAGGCGGATCATCGAAACGATGGACCCGGATATTTGGTATCGGGTCAGATAGCGTGTAAGAGCCCGATCGCTGCAAGAGGGAGAATAGACCTGTATGAAGGCTGCCGATGAGGAAGGCCTGCGGATCTGGCGTGGGGATCAGGGGAACACCACGATTGGTAATGGGATCGGTGTTGTTTGGGGTGACCGAGGACATCGACACGGAAATAGTTTCAGATGTGGCCTGGGCTGACGTCGCCAAATATGACAGGTAGGATGGCAGCAGGTATGTCTTGACATATGACAGCAAAGCCAAGACCTGCGCGCGGACTAGGGCTAGGACGGATGGGTTGGCGGAAAAGGTGGAAACCACGGCGATGGGGTTGATGTCAGCGTTGTCCACATGATCATTATTATCATTGGCATTATTTTTGTCATTGGTTCCCATCGAGTCCACATTTAATATCTCCGGTGTAGTGGCTTTGGAACTATCGCTGACAGTGGCGATCGGAGGGATTGACGTGTGCTCCGCTTCGAGGCTGGAGTAGATGAGCATCTGTGTTGTGCGGCCAGCAAAGAGATCCACCCGCGCAGCCAGCCATGGCTGTCCAGGTTCAGGGGTTAAGCCGGGCGGGAAAGTTGCTAGTATGTGGGCAGTCTCGGACGGATACGCGATTCCATGTTGGATGCGTCGGAGCAGAGTTGTAGAATACGGCAATTCAGATACGAGTGTCGGTATTATTGTGGTAGCATCGTGCTCGTGGATGCATATTGCCGATGCCATTCCGATCGTGGATGTAGATTACCGGGAGCCTGGTTTCGATTCAGGAGAGTTTCTCCGCGGGAGGGTAAAGGATGGCAAACGAATCACAAACTTGTAGACTATTGATCTCTAATTTAATCATAAAGTGACAGGTTGACAGGTTGACAGGCGTGTGAGTCAGACCCTTGTGGATCCCTGCAATATGGCTAAATTGTACCTAGCTAAGTCTAGTTAGTTACATACCTTTGTTTTAGAATATTCGATTAAAAAAAAAAAAGCTCGGAGTAGTCCATATGAAACATTGAATCTCCGAGTTCACGTCTGGGATCGCTTAAGGATTTGTCACTTAATCTAAAAGTGCCCGTGGCGGTGCGGGACTATCGATTCTGACGACCCGTCGATCTCAACTCTCTAGGGCACAGATTAAATGAATGTAACCTTTATCCATTTTTTTTTTGATGTGCTTATGCTTATGCTACATTGCTAGATTGGAGAAAGCTTTTCCTATGTAGGGCACAGAGGAGGAAGATCATAAGACTAGCTTGTCATTATACTCTGTAATATATATGACAGAAGCACTATATATTTTTTTGGGGGCACGAGAAACAAAGGAAAAAAAAAAGAAAAAAGAAAATTCGTGCCTCATCACCGCGGCATCCTACCAGGGACTGCGCGCTCCGACCATCCAATCCTCCATTGCTAACCATTCACTCCACCGTGCCTCGGCCATTCGAATCTCATCCTCCGAGGGGTCACGGAGGGGCCTTAAGAAGGGAGTCTCTTCATCTGGAGAAATGTCATAGGCAGCCTTTGTAGATGCCCAGCCGCTGCTCTTAGCCGTGAAGAGATAGTTCACCCGTTCTTGTTTGTAGATACAGCCCACACCAGCTTCCCAGTCTCCACCGAAGAAGCCTTGCATAACAGCCGGCGAGTCCTGCGCCGTGACAATCAACCGTCTAATATACGGTCGCAGTGAAACAAATGACGATGTTGACACCGGTGCACTGGATTCAGAAGGTCGCTGGCAGGGTAGTCGAATATTAATGAACGCGGCAATGGCCTGCACTTGGGGTGAGTGCTGACTATAGTCGATGAAGTGCTGAGTACAATTCTTATAGTGCGGGAACCAGCCTGTGGGGTCCACGCGTCCAAACTCGGCGTCGTTCAATACCGACTGGGTCTCTGGGTTGGTCATCCCCTCTTCACGAGAATGCTCGTGCCTATCGGAGATGCGTTCAGCGTCTCGTTCGATGGATCCTGGAACAAGGGCAAAAAAGTCTCAGAATATTGCTCATTGTGCTACCAGTGCAATAGGAGAGACCGGGGTAGAGAGAAAGGAAGAAGTAACTCACTTTGAACGAGTTGTTCGTGAGAATAAGGATCGCGCATATCCATACGGGAGTTTTCCCAACACTCTCTTCCAGAACCCTGCATTCTCAATGACATGTTCGACAGTTGACATGTGTGAATGATAGTATGTGAAGAGGGAGAAAATATCAGACTTGAGGTGGTTGAGGTGGATTTAGACTTAAGTTAGAATAGACTATGATTCTGGGGGAAACGAATGCCTTATAGTTCTGCGCCTCAGCGCAGACGGGGAAGACCGAGCCATCAAGGGTACCCAAAATCAATAACTTGTGAAGATCAAGGGCGGACTAGTTCGGCTTTTCGGAGGTGAAAGCAGGGTGGGGTGGATCTGGGAAGCTATCGAAGAAAAATCTAGCTTGAGCCACAGATATGATCACTAGCCACGGTGAGCCACGGTCAGACCGAGGATGTGGCGCGTGCGCTTATCCTCAAATAGCAAGGGGTGTGTGGCTGTGAAGCTACAATGGAATTGTCCGCTAGTCCCTATTAGGCAACCTCCATGGTCGATCCAGATCTCTCCAGGGCTTACTCCGTTGTGGTAATCAATAGTTCAATAGTTCGGGGGGCTAGTCTCTTGGATCTCTTGGATCTCTTAGACTATCTCGCCCTAGATCACCTGAAATAATTTGGAAGCCTTACTAGCCTAGCGGGAGATCAGAGATCTGATTTTTCCCATAAAATTTCTACTCGCTTAGTCTCTACTCAATACGGCGTAGTCAATGACCGCAATATGCTTGACATTTTCCAAAAGGTCCACTTCTCCCCAAAAAATAATTAAACTTAGCCCGAGAAGTAGGATGCCGGATCTATTCGGGGGTGGATCTCATATCACATTCGGGGATGAGTTATTGCTGTATATCCCCTGTAACACTGACATGTTCCCGAGAAAAATAAAAATTAAACAATAACGTGGGTAGATAGTAAAATGTAAATTATATAATATATAATATATATAAAAAAAGCTTCAGAAATGCAAGGGGGAAGAAAAAAAAAGTAGAACGAGATGATACAATTCATGATTATGTGTATCTGCAGGGGTCCCTACTTCAAACGCATCCTCGTATAGACTTGTCCACATCGGGGACTCCGATCGGGCCCTGACGCTCAGACGCCACCATCTCCTCCAATGGCCAGGATATATCCACGTTCATAGTGTTAAAACCCGAGTCCCCGGTTAACAAGATCCTAAATTAGCTAGCCCACTAAATGTTGATCAGCTTGACGTCCCCCCCCCGCTCTGAATTACTGCGGCTGAGTATTTCCAACTGTTTAAATGCAGCCTGGCTCGCTTCTGATCAAGTCAACATCCCAACACAACTGCAGAATACTTCTTAAGTCTCTTAATCAAGTCGTCATCTTGCATCTCAAGGCTTTATACGATATACAAAAATACCACTTCATCACTACACCACACTACTCAACACCCAACCATGAGTTACAAAACCAACTATGAGATTCACGTGAGTAACATCCCTTCTTTACTTCTTCAATCAAATCTGACCTGATTTTTTTTTCAGTCTCGAGGAAGCATCGATAGCAGACGGTCACCTCCACCAGATGAACTTCTCTCACCGTTAGCAACGCTCTACCCGCATGTCGTTGCCCTGCAGCCACAGTACAACCCCAGTAACTGCACTTTCACTGGTTACCGTGACACGGGATATTGGGCCGCAGCCTACACAACACAACCTATTGATGATCCTCTCATGTCCATGCGTCGTATGAATGGTGAGTTTAATCCTTTTGTCTTTTTTTTTTCTTCGGTCGCATTCCTAACGTTGCCCTAGATGGTCAGTCAGGCCGCTTTGTTTCTAGACTACGCCGACTCCTCAGCCGAAACGATTTAAAACATCGTCGAGGATCTCGGGCAACTGCACGAACTGCACGAACTGCACGAACTGCATGAATCGTGTTCTTTTTTTTTACCTTGGCAATTTACTTGACCAACACGCAAACGGCCAGCGATTCACTTCTTGACATCCTAATGTCCTCTTATGCGAGGCTATCCTTTTTCGAACCTTTTGATGTTCAACAATGCCCTCAGGCACGACTCCACGTCCATCTTTTTCTTTTGTTTGACCTTGATTTCGTTCTTACAAGCGTGTCTTTTTTTCCATCTGGGTTTGGGGCAAGCATTACAGCGAGGGGAGGAGTTCTTCGGCACATATTGGGAAGCCTAAATTGGGGGCTATATCTTTTTTATTATTGTTACTTCATTTTGCATATATTTAACGTCAATCATGTATATACAGGCAGATTGCCTACAGGTGTCAAACAAAGGACCAATTAAAGTCCGCTTTTTTTTAAACTTCATTTGAGAAACCCCATCATACTACATATTCCTTACAATTCCAACTAAGTATCCTGAGGCCGAAGTTGCCAAGGTCGAAAATACACGTTTTTCAAGTTCAAACAGCCTTATTCTCCTTTATCAGGTAGTTATCACCCAATTAGGCCTTAATATCCGTTGCCCAACTAAATAGGAGAAAGCCATATGCCGAATTTGGAAGGAAGACACACCTACAGCAATGATGGCATAACTAAAATATTTGCTTTTCTCAGAAAGCCTCATGGCTGAATCCCGACCCTACGGTAGAAGCCCGGACCCCTGCAGTCCCAGGGGAAAGGAACAGGATCAACACACATGAGGTGTAATCACCTAGGGTGAAAACGCGTCCACCCCCCCATTAATCACTTGCATTAGGACCTAGCATCCGCTGATCACCTCAATACATACCACATAGCAATGATCGACAAGCCCCATGCACCTATGGGGTCCTAGTAATCATAATTATTATAACCCGATAAGCACAGCCCTGGACATTTAGAGCCCGGAAATTTATTAAAATTTATTATTAGTTTTCACATAAGCAACCATAATTGCACACTTTGGCAGATATTGAAGTTCCAATATTGCAATTGGCTTAACGTTCACCTAGGTCGCCGACCTCGGAAGATGTTTCCTAGAGGACGATATGATACAGCCTTGGAACGTTTCAGGGGTGACATAACCTACTCCGTAATGCATCCAATGCACTGCCAAGATTTGAACCTTGTTTCCTATCTATAGAGTCTATTGCCAGGTTGGGAAGATCCCGAGATCATGACCACCGGGCGTTTTAAGTCTAAGGGCCGACCCGCGTCGATCATATATGGTTGCCCCGTCCTGAGGTCTTTCCTCCCATAGAGACAGTTTTTAAATTTTGCAGTGCCTGATTTTCGGATGATTCTTGTGTGACATGGTCTTTAGATTTGTGGGGTTTTGGGTGCAACTTTTCGCATCGGATCTCTCTCTCTTTCCTGCATCATAATTGCTTTTTGCTTGCTCCTGATTATCTTAACGCTAGGGCCGATAGGGAAGGACCAATGCAATGAGTCAGGGTGAGAGTAAATGTATCAGTATATCTTTTTTTTTTACTTGAAAGGAGTTGAATAAGAATTCTGCTATGATAGAAGCCATAGAAGTCCTGGATTGTTGAAATAAGCTTAGTGAAGGGCCTCATACTGGTAGTCCCCAGCTGGTCCATAACAATCTTGTAAGGAGATGCGTGGACTCGGTGATCATCACTGCATCACTATCAGCCTCGGTCTAACCTAAAATATACGGATTTTCATGCAGGGGTTGATGAAGTATTATTGGTCGATAAACCCCGGATTGCCACGATCAAAATATAGGCCATATTCAATAATCATAATATTATTCTAGGTAGATCCCGACCTTGCCCGATGAAATTGATGAAATTGATGAAGCAGATGATGATCCGCTCCCAAGGTTATGTATACGTTTAGCCGTACGAGGTAGAATACTGCATGATGCCTGCGCCACACTTCTTTTAACTATTATTTTAGCAAAAGAAAAAGAAAGTACTCCATAGAGCCCTCATATTAGATGTAGAAGAGCCCGAAAAGCTAAACAATAGGACAAAGAGGGTTGGGGTAGATTATGCTTCTATGTAGATGACATATATCCTTGGATAACTATGCTGGATTATATCTTTTTTTTCCCGACTCCTTTTTCCTCAGGGATAACTCGTGGAATACCACATTGTACAATATAGCATAAGACAAGGTAGATACCTAGGTAGTCGGCATATGTGAAAGAAATCAAAGAATCATATACCGACACACATTAATTACCGATCAACGCATCCGTGCCAGAACCTAACGTTTATCGCCCCACTGCTCTCCCCGCGTGCTCAACACTCCCCCAGACTTAGAACAAAATAAATTTTTATCCAAAAATGTCAACTGAAGATTCTTTAACAGGAACCCCCGAGACATCAGAATCCCCGAAATACGAGTGCTCATTATGCCCCAAGCGATATAAGCGACGCGAACACCTGTTTCGACATATCAGTTCTCATACATCACAACGGCCATACCAATGCCATTCGTGCGGCGGGGCTTTCCAGCGCGCTGATGTTTTAAAGAGACATATGCGAACCTGTGATGGCGGCACCCCGAGAGCAAGTACCCGAAGACGGGCTTGCGATCGTTGTGTTCGTCAGAAAAAGGCCTGTAGCTCCCATCAACCATGCCACGGCTGCGCCAAAAGAGGTGCTCATTGTTGGTATGCCACAGACGCAGTGGCATCATCGCGAAGCCAGAATAGCCCCGTAAAGGATATTTCGAACGACCAAAATATGAATCCTCAATTCCAACCACCAACATCGACATCTAATACAACGATGCCATGGGGCTTCACTATGGAGAACTTGCAAAACTTCGGCACAAGTCCGACCAGTACCTTCTTTGATCCAACCTCTATGCAATGCGCCAGTCCAACTTGGCTCGACTTTTCGGCATTAGCTCCCCAAAGCCCGGCAACTTTCGAACCGTCTATTTCTAATAACGGCACCCGGAAATCGCTGCACTTTCTGGACAAATTTACTAGCAACACAGGCTTAGTGTCTAGTTTTGATTGCGGCACCCACGAGCAAAGAGAACAAGTTGCCGCCACCCTAGACCAGCAAATCATGTCTCAGCTACAGGAGAGAATAGTGTCACTGTCTACCTTAGGCATGGATGTTCCATCTCCTTTGATACTGGAAAACAATAGTGATACAAGTCCAGCCAACGACTTACCATTGAATTGGTTCAGCGATCCACTTTCCTTGAAGACACACGAGATTCTTCTCTTAATTGAAGAAGTGGTCACGATCAAACCGCGTAACAGTTCTGTCAGCTTGGACTGGTCATCAGCACTCAAGGATGCATGTCTGCAATTCTTCTCTCCTTCGAACATAAGAAGATTCCTGGGGTTCTACTGGGCAATATGGCATCCTAATGTGAACTTTGTGCACCGGCCTACCTTCGACATGCTAGCAGCGAAGCCAACACTCCTAGCTGCAATGGCTCTAATTGGTGAGACAATCCCGTACTATAGGGTTGGTAGATGCTAATTATTGAAAGGTGCCTGTGTATCTCCTGATATGCCCGATAACGAAGATGCACGCACCTGGTTTAACTGTGTAGAAGAAATGGTTTTCATTGACGACGATTTCAACAGTGATTTGACCTGCCAATCCTCCGGCAATATGGTAATTCAAAGACGCAAGATTCAGGCTGTACAGGCTGCCTACATAGTCTGTCTTTATCAGAATTGGGAGGGCGCGGATGCGAGCAAGAGTCGCATTCGACGTTACCGCTTTGCTACGTTGGTATCTGTAAGTGTAACTTCCAGTTTGTATCTTATTGTTATATTAATGCATCGAAGACTGCTCGTGATATTGGAATTACAGCGGCGAGACATCTGAACTACGGCGAGCTAGGCCGTCATGAATTTGAATGGAAAGAATATGCAGCTAGGGAGGAACTCATCCGGTGAGTCTCAATATTGCGCTTGAAGAAATAGCCACTGATACTCTGGAACCACAGTCTATTCACTTGGATATTCTTACTAGACTCAGCATTTGTTATTTTCAACAACCTTCCTCCACGGATGGTCATCAAAGAAATAAGAATGCATATGGCAACACCAGAAGCTTGTTTCCAAGCGACAACAGCAGACCAATGTCACCACCAGCTCCAACTCTTCCTGCCCGCAAGAAGTCTCTACTGGACGATCTCGTTCCGCGGGTCATTTGAGTCGTTATGTAAAGACGATTTATCTGTCAATATACGCCACCTCCTCGCTACTCTAGGTCCATTGAATTTATTCGCATTAACATCAGGCAAGCTACAATCAAACCCTTCCCTATAATCAACCTTGCTAAATCTATAGTAATTAGCAATTCATTCACAAATCTTCCAATTCCGCAGCGCGGTGGGCAGCTTCCAACTCCGAGACCCGATACGAAACGCACTTAGTAACTGGCGAGATATCTGGCACTTGTTCTCATCGACATTCCCCCAAGGAATCACGCCCCACACGACAATCGAAGACCATCACATCCAACCGGAGGAGCTCTGGAAACGAATGGGGTTTTGCCGCTATGCTCCCGAGTACTGGCTTCTAGCCCACCTGATGGCCGATCGATTGGCGGTACTTGGTACATCTAAGCCGGAGAATGAGTTGGAGCCACTCGACAAGGGCCTGTTGGACCCAATCCTGAATCGATATGATCAAACTAGTATGCGGCAGATTAATGATCTGATTATGGGATTTCAGACATTCCAGATTTGAAAGCCGGTTTTGTTGTACAATTCAGACGTCTCGTTACAAGAAATGAATAAATGTCATGCTTTGCTTTTTTTCATTGCTGTTTTTTCAAGTCCCGGACGATCTTGAGAACACACATCGCTATTGCTGAAACGACACAAATTTTGAGTAAAGGCCAAAGCTGTAGTGAGGGATATTCACTGGCAAGGTCTGTTAGTGGCTAGCTGATGGGAGTTGGATGCTGCATTTACTAACCTCTCCTCATAGGAACTTGGAAGAAATCCGGCCTCACGTTCTGATTCCAGTCTGAGAGACTCAGGTCCATCTTCTCTCCAGTCGATTGTTGTTTCGTGGAGCCTGACTCTCGCGTCATGATATTCGTGTTCGGATCTCGGGGGAAGAGCAGCTGCTGATGCTGAATCGTGGATTGGTGGAGGTTGTATCGTCTCAGTTGTAGCTCTGAGTGTATCGTCCGGCCTAGAAATCCGCATAGGCCGAACTCCTATAGTCGCGCCTATAGCCTGGAAACCGAAAAGGAGAACAAAGAATGCGGTAAATAGTGGCCGAAAGTACATCCTAGCTTGTGGTCAAAGAAGGAGCCTTGGAAGGGTCGGAAGTCTCTGCTGGATGAGTAGGCTGAAGATGCGGCTTTGGGGGTGTTAATTATATAGAGACGTCCAAGGATATTTAAGTTTCGATCTAACTATTATATATATACTAGCAAGTAGTCTGAAGTTAGATTTAGATTTCATTGTAGATTCCAGGGTTCGCCCATGCGGATGACATCTTGGCGCTCATTGGATGATCACGTATTAACGTGGCTGAGTGTCTTGGCACGGACTTAAGCATTGTTTATCCGAATTGATGACAAGTGGAGAGATACTAATAGTTGTCTACCCTCTTTTATCTACTTTATAACAACCCACAGAGCTCAATGCCATTTCCCGGGATGTTGAATCCAGCCAGAACTAAGGTATAGTCGCTCCGAAAGGCAACCGGATTCTATGATTTGGAATGCCCAAGTGACGCAAGTTGCTGACTCTACGCCAAGAGGTCCTCCGGCCCCCGGGGCTATTGGTTGGGCATAGACAAATCATATCATCAAGCCAAAATTGCCTTATTCTTCTTGTAGAACTATAGATGCTTATCAGTTGGAAAAATTTTGAGCTTGCGTTGATTTTCGAGTTTACAGCCCGAGGCAAGGAATACTTTGCAGCTATGTATTGCGTGGCTATTTTCGGTGCCCTCGAACTCTTCTACTTTACTTGGCATTGTCTTCTGAATGGCTTGGGCATACAAGGTCGTGAAGGCTACGGATTCGATTATACATATAAGTCGGTGACATATTACTTGGTTGAAGAAAGTTGGATATTTTATGGCAATATAGCCTTTTCTTACAACGTACAAGCAGCCTCGAACTGTCCAAAGAGCCCATGGAGCCTTCACCGAAATGTTCGGCGCTTTTATAATGTAACATGTATTCTTTCTATAGGTACGCTGGTTAAGTATGTCCACCTGTATAACAACTGGGGTGTATTCCTATACATCCTGGGTCTGATATGTGATCGCAGTCTTCTCGGTTTGCTCTATCACCTACTCTCATTCGGTGGTCTCAAAGATCTACCTAGTATTTAAATTGGTATGACGCAAATTTAGCCCTGAATCGCACATAGGCTTTCGGATGGGATCTGGCCAAGTAACCGAGGACGTCTGATGGACCTTCGTCTATGAAATAGCACCAGCGGGAGTGCTCAGTATGGGCATGTCACTGTCAAACCCGGGGAAGACAGAAATGTCTGTTGCGATAAACTAAATACTCAATGCTGTAACTCTGTGATGTATCAACATACTTCCTTTTGAGGACCTTTGTTAGATTCCGTAGTCTAGAACCTAGCTTCTTCGACAATCTCAACTCACACACTATGCATATTGACATCTCCATAGACCTCTCCTAATAGCCTCTCATCGACAAATTGCTTCATAATGATAGGTTGTATGGTTATTGAAAGCGTGAAGGGCAACCACGCATTTCGGTAAAAATTCTCCCACATCCACTCCGACGCCCACCTCCGCATCCGCAAGTACCCCACTCTGACATCCGAGATCGACAAATATACTGAGGTTTAGCTATTCTAAAACAGGTCAATACAGGCCCAGGAACAGTATTTATACATCAACGGATGTCTCTGGGGGTACTTTGACCAGAATATCAATCTTTTTCTTAGGGGTGCAGCTTTGACGATTCCCTCGGCTGTGAAAAATAATCCCGAGATATCCGAAATGTTACCAATTACCGCGGTACTAGGGGCAGCTATTGCTGTCCTGCTTCTTTCGCGCGTTCTTAGAGTTGGACGTCGACCAAGGAACTACCCCCCGGGTCCTCCAACATTGCCCCTTTTGGGGAACATTCATCAAGTGTGTGATACAAAGGGTCTCTAGATGAGAGACTTCGAACTGACTTATCACCTTCAGATGCCATCCAAAGACGCTCATCTTCAATTCGAGAAGTGGGCACGTGAATATGGCCCAATCTACAGTTTGATGCTAGGCACGAAGTGTCTGATTGTGCTGTCTAGTGATGAGGCAGTCAAAGAACTTTTGGATAAAAGAAGTGGTATATATTCAGACCGACAAGAGATGTACATTGGCCAGATCTTGTGCAGCGGTAACCTCAGAATGTTGATGATGGTAGGCCATGGGACCGAGAAAATGGGTTTCGGATGTATCTTATAGCTAACCACTTCCATCTTTAGGGTTATGGACCAACCTGGCGTGGGGTAGGTATAACTCTGATACGTATTGCGATAATTATGCTAACTTGAGTCTAGTTTCGCAAAATGGTGCATGGCTTGCTTAACGTTACGACATCCAAGAAATATCTACCCTACCAAATGTTGGAGAATCGGCAAATGCTATACCAGCTCCTGACGGAGCCAGAAGGTTTCCTGAAGCACATTCGACGATACTCCAATGCGCTCACAACCACGATGGTTTTCGGATGGCGCACACCTACATACGAAGACGAGAAAATGATGCAACTGTTCAACGGGTTCTCGGAATTTGCAGACCTCAACCAGACCGGAACAGCAGCGATCATCGATTTCTTCCCGTGGCTGCGGAATCTACCAGAATTCCTTCTCCCAGCACAACAGAAAGCAAAAGATCTCCACAAAAAGGAGAAAGCGTTGTATCTGAGTCATTGGCTGCGAGCAAAGGAAGAGGTCCACCAGAACACAATCAAGCCATGCTTCTGCGTAGGAATGTACAAAGCACAGAAAGAAGAAGGTTTCAGCGACGACCAAGCAGCATATATATCTGGAAGTCTCCTAGAAGCCGGCTCAGACACTACATCAAGCACATTGTACGCCTTCGTCCAAGCCATGCTACTATTCCCAGATGTTCAACGCAAAGCCCAAGAAGAGATCGAAAGGGTAATAGGTCCAGGCCGTCTACCCGTCATGGACGACCTATCCGAACTACAGTACGTACGAGGCTGCATGAAAGAAACAGTCCGATGGATGCCGACGACCATCCTGGGCGCCGTTCCACACGCGGTGACACAAGACGACGAGTACAAAGGGTACTTTATACCGAAGGGGGCTGGCGTGATGAACAACGTGTGGGGCATTCACATGGACTCGGCCCGTCACCCCAACCCACGAGTCTTCAATCCCGATCGGTACCGCGACGACTACCAGAGCTTCGGAGATGCCGCGGCAAACCCCGACCCTTCGAAGCGGGATGTATTCACCTTTGGCGCGGGGCGTCGTATATGTCCCGGCATCCATGTTGCCGAGCGAAGTCTGTTCCTGGGCATGTCGCGCATTCTGTGGGCGTTCGATATTACGCCCGACACTAATGCTGCGGGAATGCCGGTTTTGCCTGATCCCGATCGTTTGACGCAAGGGTTTGTTTGTATGCCGGAAGAGTTCCCGGCGAGGATTACGCCACGGTCGAAGGGGAGAGCGGATTTGGTTAGGAGAGAGTGGGAAGAGGCGGAGAAAGAGTGTCTTGATCCTAAGACGAGACAGTGGGTGGACTCGCCTGTGGAATTATGAGTTGATGGATGTGTTGGGTGGTCTGAGCTCGCCCATGGGCTTAGGACCATGGAGCCTAGATCTCTTCTCTCTTATCTCTCCTCCTTTCTCTCCAGTCCACTCTTTTCTATTGTGAATGCAGCATGCTCTTTCTCTCCAAAGAGATATTTCATTGCGCATTCCCTAGAGAATGGAATGGCTGCTGTCTGATTTATGTATTTGTGGTTCTGATGCTAGGTGCGGGAAGAGAAACAATTGTACTTGACTGGATATAAGTGTAATTCACATGTTGTTAGACTAGGTTGCTGTCTGGTAGCTAATGATATTTGTAGATATAGAGAATGCGTGACACAACGTGTACATACTGCGTGAAATCCTTCTATTATAAAGGCTACAACGGTTGATAGAGCACGGTATCCGTGTAACCCGGAATCCGCACTCGAAATAAGAATAAAACACATGCGGGCTATAACCCCCTTGTCCTAGGTCTAGATTCCGTGTTCAGACCTCGACCTTATACCCTGAAGGTTCTGATTGACATGGAGTGAGATAAGAATGGATATGATTGTATGGAATCGCAATAAACACCGCAACCAAATCGAGACGTTGAGATATGCATTAATGCTGGTTCGAGGTGCTAACTCTACATTTGTTCAACAGTCGGTGTAACTAAGTTTTTAGCAGCGACTATGCGGTGAAACGAAAGACCCGATCTGAGCCTGGAGGCGCGATATATTGATATGAGCCATATAACTCAGCGAACAGGGTGCTCTTCCTGCACGGATATCTCTAGCAACCCTTGCAATCTGGATAACATTGCTCATTCCAAGGAGAATACTGGGATAATCATATAAATAGTGGTGTCCGCACCTGGTGCTGGTCTTGGTCTTCCAGTATCATATTCTCTGGATATGCTAACCTGCAGCGATCGAGTCAACATGGATTCCAAATGTCACACGAATGATTGCAGGCAGTATTCGGTCTCATTCATTTGGTACAGTCAGAGACAATTCAGGCAGCCCTTATCTTTCAAATGTGCTCGCCTTCTTGTCAGGCTTTTGGGTGATCTGTTACGAGAATTCAAATATTCGTGAGCCGTTTCATTGCTGACAGATTTGACGATCCCAATCTCGGTCAGCAGGAAGACAGCTTGACAAGCATTAAAGCATTATCCGAGAGTATAGCTTGCTCCTGAGATCAACGTCTGCTGATAAAAGCAGCAATATTGAAGAAGCCCTTTGAAATTCTCCAGGTTTTTTTTTTTTTCAAGATGAAATGGGACCGGTTGCACAGAAAAGAGAAGAAAAAAAGAGAAGGGGAATTGCTCCATTCTTCCACGCACTTCCCGTGTCACCCAACAGGCGACCAAATTATTTTCAATTTCAAACGAGAAATCCTGCCGTTGAGAAACCAGTGGAAAGGAAAAATGCCTCAGGTATATATAAAATGGCGCATACTGCGGGGCAGCTGTCGGTTAGCGCCGACATTGGATTGGCAGCTGAGAGCTTGATTTTCCTCGTTTTTAGCTTATGCGAGCTAAAAAAAAAAAGAAGAGAGGAATGAAGAAATTCAAAGGTTCAAGTATATACAATTCCATTCCTAGAGAAAGAGAGAGGAAGATATGAAACATATTTAAAACATTGACTACCTTACAGGCTTACAGCGGTTGATGGGAAATGGGTTCAAAAATGTGAAAAACCAGCACAGCCACCTCCAGATGCAGAACCCTTGTTTCTCCTCTCTCTTGGCACGATATCTACGATTTCACCAGCCGCATGGTGGAACGGGCGGTAATTAGAGCCCTAAAGCTAAGCTAAGGGAACACGTAGCTATGGTACTATTCCCCGGCTAAAAGGAAGTTGAAATGTATGAGGCAATAGATTTAATAAGTACATTTAGTATCTTAGTATCTTAGGTAGTATCTTAGGTAGTATTTTGGAGTATTTTGGAGTATCTGGAAATGGGAACTATTCAATCTAACAATCTTTGAATGTGGATTTGTCGCACTCGAAAATCCCTCACTATATTATAGTACTTTTTTTGCTAACCCTATTCTCGCCCGTTTACTCGATTTTGATCTAGCTTACTCTTTTGTTTTTCCCTTAAAAGTACTATAATGAAACTATGGTCCAAGCTTCTACTATGTCCCATCACCATAAGAAAAATACCCGAAAGCCACAAATGCAAAGTACCAGAACCCTCCGAATGCACGAGCCAGTCTCAGTCGATCTTGTGGCTGTGGTTTTATCGAATCATAGGCTATAGAAAACAAAGTAATTTAAAAAAGAATAAAAAATGGAGAAGTAAAAAAATAGGAAAAAATTCAAGAAACATAGTGTGTGTCATCATAGCTTTCTCAATATCCGACCCCTCAGTCCTATAAGCCAAAAAGGTATATAAGCTGCTTCCCATCCACGCACTATGAACTCTCTCTCATCTTAAGGGATGCTTATCGACGGTCATAAGTGGGCGTGCGAAGCTTGTATACGGGGCCACCGTGTTACCAGCTGCAAACATCATGGTTAGTAGCAATTTTTGGTTTTTTTAATGTTTTCCCCTATACCTCACTGGTATACTGATATTTCCACCATTCCTCAAAACTTCAAGCTCTTAAAAAACTGACCTTGATACAAAAAAAACCCTAGATCGTCCACTGATTCGCATCAAGCGTAAAGGCCGTCCTTTCGCAACATGTACAATGTGCAATGCAACGCCATGTACATCTCCAATGGAGCACGCGCGCGCAAAACGTGACGCAGAGCTCAAATGTCCTTCAAAAGTAACGCAAACACAAAACACAGCCAAACAGACGCCATATCTTCGGCATATGGAAGGAGAGAAATTGCAAGCGCCATGGTGCTGATTGCTGTTTGCTCTTTTTCTAGAAAGCCTCGAGCCACGGAAGACTCTATCCGCGTCAAAATCCGAACGGTTTCCTCCCGATTGCCCCTCGTCCACGTCCTAGTCCGTCGAGGTCGATTTCGGGTCCTGCGGGCGGGGATTCTCTCCCAACCGTTGCGACAAAGTCGAAATCTAGGTCCGGGTCAAAATCGGGCTGTTCGATCTCGACGGCTTCGTCGCCCGGGAAGACCATCTACAGTGATGCTGTTGGGGCGGGAGACTGGTCCGGCTCGGAGGGCTCTATGTCGGCCATGCCCTCGTCGAGACAAACCGTGTCTTTCTCGGGGTCAGTTATGCCGGGTATGGACTCGAGTCAGACTCTTAGTCCCGGGCAGGGTGATTCCATTTCACGTTCCGCACCGGGCTCGCTGTATGAGTATCCCGTTGAGTATCCCGCTACCTCGGGGGCTGAGGCAGGTGCCTTGTTCGATCCTGCGTACTCTCTGCAGTCTTCTACACTGGCTGTTTCGAGTTCCCAGTTCGCCCGGACAATGCCCATGGTTAGTCCGCTCGAAGGGGTGAACCCTTTTGACTTCTCGCTGGACCCTGCGCTAGAACTGGGCGAGAACGCGTTGGGGTATTTGAATGAGGTCGATATGAATATGGATTTGGAGATGCCGGTTATGGAGGAAGTGTTCCATGTGGAGGATTGGTCTAGGTATATGTGGTCGGCTGAGACTGGGTTTGAGCATTTAGATACTGGCTTCCCACCTGTGTCGCAGCAATAACAGGAGGGGTTCGGGCGGCGAACCTGGTCAATAACTCGCATGATGATTGATGATTATGATTTTATTGCTTTGATGTTGATGTATATACAAAATGGAAGAGCAAAAGGCATAGGCTCGGATGCTGTTTGCAATATCTCTTACTGTATCTTGCACTACCTACCGCGGGAATAGTTCTAGCTTTCATGGGGATTCAATTGAAACAACACGTCCTATGCTCTATCCGAGACTCGCGAATGGATGCTAAGCACGAATGCCCCCAATGCTCCTTGCTGATGTAAAATAATGACGGCAACGGCACTGATAACGCCGACTATACAGGAGAATGAAACAAGAATCAAGAGAAAACAGACATGAACCTTATAAGGCCCCACAAACAGACAAGGATCAACCGGGTGGAAAGATAAAATATACGCAGGCCCAGTGGAGTACAACCTAGAAATCCCACAACCTACACCTCCTGGATGTAGTTCGCCGGAACGCTCTTCGTAACACCACCCCGTTCGACGTCGGCCCACCCATCACCACTATCCCGGTTGATGAGAACAAACCGATCACCCTCTGCCATATTCCACTCCATATCGCTGCGGGCTTCATACTCATATAATGCTTCAACATATTGCAATTTCTTGGCTCCTCGTCTGGGCGCGACGGCTGGGCCGACACGCTTCATCGCAGCGCTTCCCGCCAGCGATGCCGAGGAATTCGAGTACGTTGACCCAGGTCGGTCAGGCATACTGGGACTAGTGGATGGCACGGGAGATGGCGTTGGGGCAGCTTCGACATATGCGGTCGGAACAAGTCCTTCGTTGCGTCCCGAGCGCACACGCAGCCATCCAGAACCATCTGTGTAATTGTTAGTGAATATCAAGTGTAAATGGCAGGACAACGTACCATCTGGTTGTAGGATCACCACTTCGTCCCCGTCTTCGACACTGACTTCATCCAAGCCGGTGGCTTGATACGGGTACAGCATTTTACCTCGTGGCTCTTTGGATTTCGAGCTTATGCCGGAGTCAACCGGCGGAGGTGGAGTCACGTATGCTGTTGGAGGCGGTGCTAGCACCCGGTTCCTCTTTGGAGCAGTAGCAGCTGGCTTTGTCTGTGCAACGGGAGCTGGGGGCTCGTCTGCTGGGGTTTCTGGTGTGGGTTGAGTAGCAATGTTCGATACCGATCGAGTCGTACTGGCCGCATACCCGGAACTAAGAGAGTTCATTGTATTTTGTCGCGTCAGGGACGGCGCGGCAGTGGAAGATGCAGGGGTGCCGAGATCCACAGCAGGCATGGCACCAGCCTGTTCCTGTCGCAAGACCTTGAGCTTTTTCTTGTCTTCCTTAGTTTGCTCGCCTGGGCACTCCGGCGGCACCTTCATTTGGCATTTACTATGGCAGGTGTAGCCACAATCTCGGCAATCAAAGCCCTTGGCAGACAGGCCCCAGATTCGCTCGCCGCAAAGATCGCAATTTGTCGGGATCTTGAATGTCTGAGAGCGGAAATTGTGGTTCTGAGCTCCAAGCGACAAATCTCCAGCCACTACCATGATAGTCGCTGTTTCTACCTCGGCTGTAACCCATTTGCGATTAATCTCGTGCAAGGACTCTTGCATGTAGAAAATGGACCGCACAACATCCAACTCGTTTCGATTATCTTTGCCATGTTGGATATTTTCCCGTATTTTCTTGCTGTTTTCAACCTCACGCTTCTTCTTGTCTGACTCAACTCGTAGTTCATGGATTTGAGCTTTGCTCTTAGTCAGGACGTTGCGCAGGAAGACTTTGGCTGCCTCATCGACGACGATTGAAGCATCGTCATGCCATACTGGACTCGGCTCAAATGCTAGGTTTGCAGGTTCCTGCGATTGAGTTACATTGTGCTGGAGGAACATTATGGAGTCCAGACGCGGGTTGTTGCGAGGAATTTCGACAAGAAGATTAGCCATGTGCTCCGTGCTATGTGTAAGAGATGACTTTTCAAGTTGGGCGGCGAGCGACCACATCAAGTTCATTTTTGCGACTCGTGTTTCATTGAGGTTTTGTAAACCCTAGAAGTATGAGTACCATCGCTGATCCAGTTATATGGGGAGTGGTGGGTTCATCTTACATCGATCACCTCAGGGACATATTCATGATAAAACTTCTCCTTGAGCTTATTTGTCACATTGATGCTGATGAGATAGAGGTTCTAGCCGCACGTTAGCATTAGGGCAAGGAATTTCCAGTTGAATGAGTCGTGCCTTATAGTTGTTCATCTCCAGTATTTGCTGTTGATATGCTGTTTGTGCTTTGCTCTTGCCATGATCGAAAGAGGACTCCATTTTCTTTCTGCGAGATTCAACCTCCTGACATGCGCCATCGTATTTGCCCTTTGCTTTCTTGAGATCGCCATATGCCGCCTCCCGCTCCTTTTCTAGCTTTCCATGATATTCAACGTGGCATTTGCGAATCTCTTCATACTGGGTGGCAGCTTGTTTCAGAGGATCCGCCACTTGCACTATCAATTCTGATGCAAACTTGTCCCGTTCGGCGGCGTGTGATTCCACGGCGTTCAATTGTGTAGTCCATGTAGTGAGCGATGCGCTTTCGAGGGAGCCGGGGGTTAAGGTGGGTGTATCCCCTACACTCAAGGGGCTGATCTTCTTCGACTTGCGGTCATAGTACTTCTTGCACAGGGCCGTTAACTTGGATGCATATTCCTTCTCAATGGCGCTGCGCTCGCGGTAGAATTGGTTTATCTCGTCTACCCATGATATACCATTTGATACCTGCACAACGTGCTTGCATTAGCTCTGTTTCAAGCGTACAGGGCGATCTGACGGGTGGGTTGCGGGGGAACGATGCTGGGACCATACCCAACTGTTAACCGGTTTGAAGGAATCCTAGATAAATTAATCTAGTTAGTTATACATCTGCGACCATAATCATACAATATTGATACCTTTAACTCTGCTCCGAATTGGAGAGCAACGTCTGCGGCCGCCATGGCTGGATTGAGACCCCAAGGCACATGCGCATGGGATAGCACGGGAATGGAAGACCGAACAATGAGACGGGGTTTCCTGGTATCAGCACTACTCGTCAACGAACCACTTGTCTTGGTATCAACCAAAGGAGTCAATATCTCCAATTAGACAGTGTTCAATGGGCTACTGAGGCCATTAAGATAGGAAGAATGAGCTCAATGGCCAAGGCGGGGAGAAGGCCGGTCCCTGTAACAGTACTAAACATACACGTTGCTGGTAGTTAATATGTGTCTTGTCCATTTGTTACAATACCATTACATGTATTCCACTTTGACTAAATTCGGACTAGTTTCCTACCCTTCGGCGTCATATGTTTTTGCTCTTCCCATTCAGAACGAGCTCGATTGTTTCTTTTGGCTATTGCTCTTCTCTTTTTGGTGCTCGGACTTCTGGTTTTCGTCTACTTCTGCCCGACTCCTGACTGAAGATATCCTCAGTCGGCACCATCTTGACCCCAATCTTGGGCTCAGCCATTTCATTTCATTTCAAACTTTTCTTTACCCCACGACCACCCCTCCACCTTTCTTTCCTTCTCCAACTATTTCTGGTTTTCTGAGATACCCGCCAGATTTTTCCACCATGTCTGAAAACCAAGACATCTCCCCTGCTGCGGGCTCCCTGGCTGACCGCATCACCAAGCCTGACGAGCCGAAGCCCACCGGTACGAAACGAGACCACGCCACCGTCGCTGATTCCTCCAGCCGGAAAGCGCACGCTATTCCCGGCTGATAGCTAATATATTTATATTTTCCATTTCATAGATTCTTCCAATGTCGCCGCCACTCCCAAGGAGGACGGCGCCTCTGCCCCCGCGCAGGGTTCAGCAGCGCTTGAGGAGCCCGACTACAACGTCGCGGTGAAATTGAGTGACTTGCAAGCCGACCCTAACAACCCCCTGTTCTCAGTCAAGAGCTTTGAAGATCTGGGCCTGTAAGTGCTACTAACTGATGCGCTGGTGCAAATGGGCGTCTAACAGCTAACTTGATTGACACTCCAGAGATGCGCGCATTCTGAAAGGTCTTTCAACGATGAACTTCCGCAAACCGTCCAAGGTCCAGGAACGCGCTCTTCCCCTTTTGATGAGCAACCCTCCCAAGAACTTGGTTGGTCAGTCGCAGTCCGGTACGGGCAAAACTGCGGCTTTTGTTCTCAACGTTCTCAGTCGTCTCGACCTTTCAACAGAGCAGTTGCAGATGACGCCTCAAGCTTTGATCCTCGCCCCCACCCGTGAATTGGCTCGCCAGATTGTCGGTGTTATTCAGGTTATGGGTCAATTCCTTGAAGGTCTCGTCATCGGCACTGCCGTTCCTGCCGATTCGAACGCTCGCCCATCGAAGATGGATTGCTCAGTTGTGGTTGGCACACCTGGTACTGTTCAAGATATGATCAAGAAGCGCATCATGAACCCTACTGGCTTGAAGGTGCTTGTCCTGGATGAGGCAGATAACATGCTTGATCAGCAAGGCCTGGGAGACCAGTGCATTCGAGCCAAGGCGTAAGTACTTTACCCCTAGCACTAAAAGCTTTCAGCTAATAGTTTCCCTCCGATAGGATGATTCCCCGAAATGTTCAAATCGTCCTGTTTTCTGCGACCTTCCCCGCTCACGTCTACCGCTATGCGGGCAAGTTTGCTCCTTCTGCAAACGAGATTACTCTCCAACACGAAGAGCTAACTGTTGAGGGTATCAAGCAACTCTACATGGATTGCAACAGTGACGAGGAAAAGTACCAGAACCTCGTCCAGCTCTACGGACTGCTTACCGTCGGGTCCTCCATCATTTTTGTCCGGGTAAGTATCATTTCAGATAAAGATTGGGGGATATTGCTAATCGCTGTATAGACTCGTGCCTCTGCTGTTGAGATCGAGAAGCGTATGGTTGCCGAAGGTCACACTGTCGCCTCGCTGACTGGCGGCGTAGAGGGATCCCAGCGTGACGCAGTCATTGATTCATTCCGCAGTGGCGAGGCCAAGGTTCTCATCACGACCAACGTTCTGGCTCGTGGAATCGACGTCTCTACTGTTTCCTTGGTCGTAAATTACGTGAGTTCATCGTTTGTCCACTTTCACGTCCAAAACTAAACTTTCCCGCTTTCAGGATATCCCCGAGGAGTACTCGGGCGGCCAGCGCACAAACACACCGGACTATCAGACCTATCTCCACCGCATCGGTCGTACTGGTCGCTTTGGCCGCATTGGTGTCGCAATCTCATTTGTTTCCAACCGCAATGAGTGGGAAATGCTTCGCAAGATCCAAGACCACTTCCAGTGCGTCATCGATCGCATTGATACCAGTGACTGGGATGAAGTGGAGGAGATGATTAAGAAAACCATCAAGAATACCCGAGCCCAGGCTGAATTTGTCCAGACTAACTAAGTGCGTGAAATGACGGTGTCAGCATACAACATACCTTGACCTATTGCTTCAATTACAACATTCTGGATCAATCCTTTCCCGTTTCATGATTTGAAGAGTGACGGAATCTCTTCTTTTTTTTTTCGCGGGCCAATGGGGGTTGAGGGAAAACTAGATACCTATTTGCACACATGGCGAAAAAAACTCCATTTCTTCTTCATCTCAACTTGTTTGTAGATTGCCTTCTTTTTGTGTTATGACATCTTTCTGTGGGTCGTTCTCTCAACACCTATTAATATTTATGTGTTCATGTTCTCTCACATCTTCCTCGTCCTGACATGCAGCTACTTTTCTGCTTATTCCATGGGGAGTGAAGCAATAATGTCAACGTATCAATTGACGCCATCTTGAAACACGAAGAGGATATCCAAATGTTTATCGTTCACCCGACTATCGTCACAACCACCATTGCCTATATCAACTTAGACTTCAGCCAAGCAGATTCCTCAGCCTACGCCAAACTATATACATAAAACCACCATACCACAGAAACTTCCCCTTAAAACAGCCACTGATTAAATGCAACCCCAAGGTCAATGTTATTAAACAAATCCAGGCCATCAACCTCAATCATCGGATCAAAGTCAAAAGCAGAAGTATCCTCAAGATTCGAATCCGGAAGAACTGACTGCGGCTCCAGAATCTCATCAATAATCCTGGAGAACAGCTGACTGGCTCGTTGAAAAAGAGCATAGTTGGCATTATCCGGTCGCACGATAGATTCGAGATGCGAAATGAAGACACTCAAATTGCGGATAAGTGCCGATCTCGACCCTTCGTAGAGGAATGGCTCGCCTGTGCGTTTTTGGTGTTGCAGGGCTTTGATGAGTAGACTGGCGCTGGGGAAGCCATAGAGCAGGACCTGCCATTCTCTTAGTATTAGAACGGATAGAAATATATGTTGTTGATAGTACTTACCGTCCACGCAAAATCTGGCCGGAGATCGACCATTTGTTCGCGTTGCATGCCTAATGTCAGGACCGTTGATAGTATATTAGCGCTCACGGAGAGCAGTGCTATGTTTCCGCGTGGATTATTCTTCCCCGCGATGAGTCGCTGGATGAGGAAGTCGTTGTACAGGTATGCCAAATATGAAATAATCATCATGAGGCACACTGCTATATGTAAATTTTGGTCCCAACATTGTGGGGTGTAGCGTAGCCAATTGGGGAGCGAATCCCATGCTAGATGACATCGCTGCGAGATATTCCTGTATGGTATCAGCTACTGAACATGAAGTAGAAGGAAGGTGATGATCTACTTGAGCATATTCTCCATCTCTGGTGTCACATTCTGCAAAGAGACCTCGAGAATTTCATCCCGAAAGGTACTGATGATAAATCGTACTCGTATCCATGATGACCGCTGGACTACTCCTTGGACGTTCCAGCCATTTTCATCCAGGTAGTCGTGGGAGTACTCTCGGGCCGTGGTATCGGTAGCGAGTGCCTCATCGCTGATATCAAGGGGCATGCGGCAATCGGCGTATCGCCATGGTATTCTTGGTGGTCGACCTAAGAATGTGGCAATGCTCTTGTCGAGCTGATATGCTGCAGCGAATTGCCGTCTACGTGACTCTAAGAGAAACTCGGGGGTGTCGCTCGAGGTCTTCGAGTCACGGTGGAAACCAAGTGCAAAGATGTCGGTGGAAAGCTCCCCGAGTCGTCTCCAACAGGCGGGGCCTAAAAGGGTTTAGAAAGAGCAAAATGGCGGATGGATGGGTTGAACGGACTTGAGTCACCATGTACTATATCTGACAACAGGAGAATCTCATGCAACAGCCATATCGTCAGATCATTGAGTGGCGTAAGGATTTTGCAAATAGTCAGTGCAGCATCACTGGCTATGAGCATCTTATGCGCATATTGAGACCGCGAGCTTCGGTTCTCATCTAACCTATCATTAGCGAGTCCCAGATATCTTGCTCGACCAGCGAGAGCGCAGAGGAGCCCAAGAATCTCAAGACGGATTGCTGGCCCTGTAAATAATGCATGGAAGTCTCGCCCTTGTGTCGCAGGCGGAACCTCGAAAATTTCAGATGTGTTTTGTATTATGTTCACTGTCAGCGAGGATGTGAAATCACCAAGATTACGATCCGATGTGCTGTCTTTGCACATGGACTTAACCGGACCAAGGCTGTTGAGCACGAATGGTGCCGGTATAATCGCGCTTTGACTTAGTGCATAATAATCGCGGATTAGGGCCTCGACTGTAGCGAAATCATTGAGGGTCAATAGAATTTCGGAGATCTTGTGAACCCAATATGGTGGCAGGATTCTCTGAGCAGATTCAATCTCCAGGCCCAGGTCTGGACCTTCTGAGCCCAGGTCGACATCTTCAGTTAGGGGAGATACGAAGCTCGTTGGGCCGAAGTATCCAGAAAGTAGCGGTTGGGTACGAGGTGGGATGCGTCCAGAAGAGCTCTCTTGTTCCACATTAGACGCAGAGGGGTTGAGTGGTGTCTCGCTTGAATGAGGGTTCCTAGGAAGCGGCAATCATAAGAGCCTGATATGCATATGGATATAGCTACGGAAGTGCATTGGGGCGGTAATTATTCCACTGGCCACTCAATGATCGACATGAACTCGAAAATGACCTCAGAACAAAAAGTAAATCTACAATTGACGCACCTTGTTGATGGAGGTCGATCAAAAGGAACTCCCTCTGCCAATGGGAAGAAACGGCGACCTTTAGCCTTTGTCAGGGGAGCAGGGTGATAGTAACATCGCGTGGAGATCCCACGATCTCTACAGCGAGTACATACAGGTAATGCATGGTCGCAGCGGACTTTGTCTCGGCGACATGGCTCGCAGGAGGCTGGTTTGCCATTCCGACGACGCGAGGTACTGCCGTGGGTACTATGTAATTAGCGGGTGGCATTAAAAAAAAAATAGAAATAGAAATGATTTACCTCATAGGAAAATATAGGCCTGCTAAGGTCCACGGAGTACTCCGTGGTGAGTCCTAAAGGTAAAAATCTAGGGAATTTCGGTGTTCGCTACTCCGACCAGTTAGATTGAACGCCGAAGAACTCCGGTGGAAACCGGTGGAGACTTGATATAGTATATAGAAGCAATCTGGGGGAAGCTATACCGCTTATTCTATTTGTACACGATACTACACTATAATCAAAAGCCAAGAAACTAATGTAAAGTAGCTCTTTGATTCTGTACAAAGCCTGTAGATAAGCCCCTCAGATAACGTGAGGAGAAAGATAAGTCACATGGCGACGCTGTACTCCCCCTCCCTTCAGGGCCCTTTCCCCCTCCCTCTTTTCTCTTCTCCTTTGTATATTCTCTCTTCAAATATTGCTTCATATTATCCTGGAACCTCTTTTCTCTAAGTAATCATGTTGAAAACAGAACCGACTGCCACGGTCTTACCCGTACCAACAGACCCATCCCTGACATCTCCAACATCTCCCACCGACCCCAATCCCCGATATAGCAACCACATTATCGTAAGGATTATTCCAATATTACCTCTGTACTGACTTCCAAGTATTGTATGGCGCTAATATCAAGTATAGTTGACCACTTACCCAGGCCAAAGCGGCATTGAGCCCGTCCCCCTTGAGTGGGGCGCTCCCGACGCTAAATCCCGGGGTCCAGTGGTTGTATCGCGCAGCGGGAACCTCGTAAAGCGTCGCAATGCCATCGGCGCCCACGGTGGCAGTTACAGCATCTACAATGCCCTTGCGATTGCTGCTGGTGACTTAGCTCCGGATTTCCGACCGGACTTCCGTAACTCTGAGCCGACTTTCAATTTCCCCCCGCAGCCTGCCTGGGCGGATAAGACAAAGATCGTCTCTATGGATCCTTACGGCCATGACATCGTCAACCAGTTTAAGGCAGAGCTGGAGGCTGGTTGGGATATTCGCCCAACTATGGCCGTCACTCGGGCTAACATGAAGCTTGCGGAGATTGCCGATGATGTGAAGAATGGCCTGCTCGAGGTCGACGGGTCTATCCTTGTTGATTCATCCGGCGAGGTTCGTGTCACCAAGGTAGCGGCTGAGCCGGTTTGGTATTTGCCCGGTGTGGCATCGCGGTTTGGGGTTGACGAAGGCACCCTTCGTCGGACTTTGTTCGAGCATACCGGTGGTAGCTACCCGGAGCTTATCACCCGGCCTGATCTGAAGACCTTCCTCCCACCTATCGGCGGCCTCACCGTATACATCTTCGGTCCACCGGAGCGCATCTCAGACGAGAATGTCAAGCTGGCCCTGCGCGTCCACGATGAGTGTAATGGCAGTGATGTCTTCCAGTCGGATATTTGCACCTGCCGACCATACTTGGCGTTCGGTATTCGCGAAGCAATCCGCGAGGCGCAGAACGGCGGCAGTGGTGTTGTCATCTACTTCCGTAAGGAAGGTCGAGCCCTTGGCGAAGTGATTAAATACCTTGTCTATAATGCGCGCAAGCGTGGAGGCGACACGGCCGATAAGTACTTCACTCGGACAGAGAATATTGCTGGTGTCCGCGACGTAAGGAACCTCATCCTTTAATGTGGCTTGCATATACTAACTTATTCTACTGCAGATGCGATTCCAAGCTCTTATGCCCGACATTCTGCACTGGCTCGGCATTACCAAGATTGATCGTATGCTGTCAATGTCGAACATGAAGCACGACGCCATCGTGGACTCTGGCATCAAGATTATCGAACGTATCCCTATCCCCGACGAGATGATCCCTAGTGATTCAAGAGTCGAGATCGATGCGAAGATCCAATCAGGATACTTCACTACCGGCAAGACGCTGACGGATGAAGAACTGACTCAAGTTCGTGGACGCGGCTGGGAAAAATGGGAAGACATCTCGGTAAGTTGAACTGCCTCTTTGGACTCATTGTAGACCCGCGTGGCTGATTGTTCCTGCAGCACTAAATTTGGGCTTCATGTTGCCTGATCGAGATCAACTCGTCACTTCAATTTCGGTAGTCTTTTTTGGCTAGTAATTTGGTCAGTGTGTTGTGTGTGCCTACGCACGTTATCATAGAGCGCTTTGTCGCAAGTTCGTGAAGCATGAATCCATACTAAGAATAAAATCAAGAAAAGACATTGTGTGACTCAAATGACAAATTCCATGTGTAGTGGCAAATCGCAAGGTACTCACTATAATAAACTCCGGGTACTTTCGATATTTGAATAGACTGACGTCAGATACATGGGCTTGGTAGCTTTATTCTCGGCCTAGACGCCGACGCGGATTTTGTGCCTTATCTTCCCCGCATGATTTACGGGTAAAGTGAGGGGCATTGATAAACTTGATTGAAATTACTATAAACGGACCTCGTTTTCTGGATATGCATCGATACCGATACATTTTGCGTGTCATTTCAAAGGGAACCACAAGGCTCAAATGTGTCCCCACACTCCTGGATCCGCAAGATGGGAGTCTAGTGCCCAGCTGTGACAATCGTTGAATATGCAAAGGACACACTTAACTTCGAGGCCTGCATGCCCGGGCAGCATCTTAAATATCGTGAAACTCAAATTGACATATAGCTCAGTGGGAGAGAATATACAGCCGGCTTGGTTTTCTCTCTCCCTTTCTTGTCACGCCGATTCTGCTGGACTTGTCTCGACCTCGGGAGGCCGTGAAATCAACCTTAAGCAGGTTAGCATATATGCGGAGCGGGCCGATCCGTTGATAGCTCAAATGTAAAAACCTTATATCTCTATGGCAATTTGGGGATTTGTGGGAGGATAAGGGCATGTGAGAGAGGGATAATGTACATATGTATTGTCTGGCTGTGTTAAGATATATACAGTTAATAAATAGTACATCGAATTTGTGTCATTTCCAGTTAACGATGCATGTGAGGCGGCTCTGAGAGGACTACGTAACTCACCATTCTCCCGAGATTCTCTCCTAATTGCATCTTCTTCTCCTCTCCCAACAAAATCCAGAAGACCAGACTATGTAGGCTCTGAGTACAGCCACATTGGTCCCCGGTCGGATTTCCATAGGGTCCTTTTCTGTTATGAGGGTTGCTCCCGGTTCTCTTTCTCGTCTGCCTGTTCTTCTTCATTCGAAGACTGTTATCTTTGATTTTTCACTTCTGCTTTTTCTTCCCACCCTGATTTTATGTCTCCTTCGTCATCCAACTGATGTTCATGATCTCATCCAGGACTAGACCCTTGAGGGAAATGATCGGAGATTTCGAGTATTCTTCACCAAGTCCACTATCCACTCGCACATAAAAATCTGAATTCTTTATTTACAGAGCATAGTGAAAAAAAAAAGAGAAAAAAAGAAGAAAGCTCAGAGACCTACCCTCACTTGCACGCATATACGTAGAAGAGACGAATAATTCTAAATTTTCACCCTTGGTCAAACCTGAAAATGTGAGATAAATAGCTAATCGTGCTTCAAAAGGAGAACAGCGCTATTACCCTCACCAACTGGGTGAATAGTGCTGCAGGGCCTGATATTAGCGCCCATTTCTTCTAAGAACTCCTAGCTAGGGACTTTGGTTCTCATAACACTAACAAACTTATTAAAGTGAAAGAATTGTGAGTTTCTGCTTTTTCTGAGATATGACGTCGAGGATCGTCGTGGCCAAGATCTCTTTGTGACAGCATTTATGGACAAACCTTTCCTTTCAGCCCTGGTCAACTATAACCATACAGTTCAAGGCTGCGCGCCCCCGCCCCATGTCCTAGCCACTCCACTACACCTTTCAAAATGTATGTGAGAATTGTTGGTAGATCAGAGATCTAGCATTAGTACAAGCTCAAGATGACGAACAGCGGCGTAAAAATCTCCGCTGCTAGGAACATATTCATTGTTCACCCTAATGCTAGTGATAAATACATTAGTATGCTAAAGATGGTCACTGGGTATGCTGGCTCAAATACCAGCACAGTTTTAAAGATTGCGTTTAACCCACAGCTTACCAAGAATGTACTCGGCAAATCCAATAATATCGTGTTAAGAATTGCCGATGTTGACTAAAGTGTGGAAAAATGCTCCAACCACCGAGCCAGATCCATCTGAGGAGACTGCTATCACTTTCATCAACACCAACTGGGCGCCTCCGATAAGCTCACACACCTCGTACGAGAAGATCCTCTTGTGCATGTCGAGGCCAAGGCAAACCTAGTATATAAGGCATAACGGCACCTTATGCAAAGGTCAAGGGGACTAACACCCTTCTCCACATATTGAGTAACCGGCTGGAAAACCATAGGTTGATCTCAATGACTACCATGGCAAGTATCATCTAGGCAGTTCATACATACTAAGTCTCGGGCTCATATAACCCGATCTAAGCTCTACAGCAAGTCGTAGTTATAACAAATGGCCACTCCTTAGCTTAGACGCAACATCGGTGAGCTATGTACTTTACGGCCGAATACGTAGTGGCTCTGTTTTTGCGCTAACTGGGGGTGGGGAATACGCTAGAGGGAGCTCAAGCCTCATGCTCTATACGGGGGGGCCGGTGACGTAGCGAAGAAGTCGGTGAATAGGTGGATCGGGACGATTGCTAGTACAACATGTTGACAATGCCATATGGTGGCAGTGAATACATTGTCCATGTTATTGAAAGGATAGAAATGGACAATGATGAGATTAGTTGACTGTTGCATGAAGTTTTGAGACCAAACGGCCGAGTCCCAGTCGAAAGGAGCCCGATTCGAAGTGGAACGGATCCTCAGGAAGCTAGAGGATCATGACGCAGAGTGGAACACAAGACTGAAAAGTTTTTCAAGAATCCCCGTCAGAAAATGCACGCGAGAGCCGAATTCTTCTGTTAATGTAAATATATGTGGAACACGATGCCCGTTTAATATCCACACAGCCTGCTAGGCCGAATAGAGCATCATTAATCCCATTCGTCTCTTGCGCCGTTCCTTTGGCTAGGTGGGTGCCGGTGCTGCCGGCGAGACAGGAGTGGGGACTGACACGATCAGATAAGATTATAACAAGCCCATTCTTTTTTTTTTCCGTGTCGCCTACCTGCGAGGCGCCAAGACCTCATGCGATGACGTGTTAAGCCCATCAGAGTGTAGGGGAAAAAAACTGACTTCTGATCCCTTTCAGCAATCGGATATTCGGGGTCAGAAAGATGATATAATGAAGCCAAGAAGTAGTCAACGTCGAAGAGGTAGCAGAGGGAAGCTTGGAAATCACATGCCTGGGCAGTAAAATAAGGTGGGGACAGTTAGGGCCAATTAAAATTGGACTTTGATTACTGTCATGAAGTAATAATTACCGTATCACAGGCTCAAATATTCATGAGTCAGCGTAATTAACACCTAAAATACAATCAGGGGGCGAGCCGGAAGTGCGGTCAGCCGTGATCATACGACAAGATTGCCTTCCCCCCATTTGGCTGCCTGGCTGGGTCATTTTGGTCCATACAACCTCCCCTGATCTTCATGCATGGAGACAGCAAGCTCCCACCTTGAATCAAAATAGCTTGTATCTTCCAGGGCTGTTTCTTCCCATTTCGTATTCTCAAGGACTTGATCCACCTTCTCTTAAGGAACTTTGCGCAATTTTTAGAACCCACTTGGTTCCTTGGGTCTAAGTGCTTGCGCTACGTCTGTTTGATGTGGATATCTTCCACACCCCTGCTTTTTGCTCCTCCAATCGCCTACTTGTGGCTGTGACTCTCACATTCCCCCTCCTCGCCGACTCAGTCTTTACATCTTACCTTGCACGTAGTACACTTACGTCTGTTAAGTATCATTCGACTTTGAGCATTACACTTGAAGTTGCATCCAAGTCAGTATCATCCATCTCCTTGCCGTCATGGGATCGCCGCTAGCCTGTATTGGTCTAGTTGTATGTTTTGCCTCGAGTATGGCTGTGCAGGCAGCTGGATTCTATTCCTCTAAAAGGATGGTTTTTCTTCTATAGTAAAACTAACTTGTTCATCAGTGAAAACTATCCAGAGTGCCCTATACATCATTCGGACTTAGACTGCCTCGGGCATTGGCCGAGGACCTAACGGTGGAATTTAGCCAAGATGTCCGGTCCTAGTATGGAAAATGACTTTCAGCTTTTTTCTTCACGAAACTCTGGGGGGGATGAGGCGCGAGGAAATGGCCATCTGTTCACGCATCCAGCCGGAGAGAATGTGAGCCAAGATTGGACTCAATGGATGCGATGGGATGAGCCAACGTTCTCGGAAGGAGATCAAAAGCCAATGTTCTCGGAAGGAGATCAGAAGCTAATGGCCTCATCTATGGATCTACCATCTATTTCCCCACACACCGATATGAGTTCACCGAGTCATTTGAACTATCAAGACTTTTCACCTAATCTTCCGCTCGGCTTGATGGAAATTCCCTCCGACCCCAATGCCGGAAAGAACCTTGGGTACACCCACGGTCTACCTGGACAAACTCAGCACATGAGCCATCAACAACATTTAGGTCTAGTGTCTCCGATCTCAAGTGTTGGGACAACTCGGAAGCGAAAGACAGGCAGCAGCGACGACGATGCCACCACAGTGACTGGACCAGTGCAACCGGGCAAGAAAATGCCTGCCAAAAAGCGAGCTCACAACGTCATTGAGAAGCGATATCGCGCCAACTTGAACGATAAAATCGCCGAACTTCGCGACAGTGTTCCCAGCCTTCGGTCGATCAAAAACTTGAATGGAGGCTCACCCGATGCTGACGACGAAGCGGAAGGAGCAAATGCCGCGAACAAGCTTAACAAGGCATCAATTTTATCGAAAGCGACGGAATACATCAAGCACCTGGAAATGCGTAACCAACGTTTGGAAGACGAAAACACTGCTTTGAAGAACCGGCTCCGCCAGGCTGATAAAGCAGCAGACCAGGCCGCCACATCCTCAGCATCTGTATCGTCACCCAGCAACTACGCCTCGACGGACTCGGGCTCTGGTACATCACCTAGTGTATTCTCTCAGGCGGAAGAGGTGTCTAGCGAGAGTTCACCCACCTCTCAGAACCCCCCAGAAGGTCTTATTCCGGTTCCCGATGCGTGGAAACGTATGCGAGCTGAAACTGCGAAGCAAGGAGTCTTTGCCGAATCATATATCAAATACCCTTCGTCATCATCCTCATCTCATCAACCGCAGTATGTGAGAGAAGATACCTCCACTCGACGTTCAAGGATGCCCAACAAGTATATGCTGGGCGCCCTTGCCGGCCTGATGGTTCTTGAGGGTCTGGGCTCTGATGATTCTGAGTCCGAGGCGAAGGGCCTGCTTGCACTCCCCATCAGACTTTTCGGCCGTTTCCAAACACCTACCCTAGCACACTGCGAATTCTACCTGAAGCAGTTCTGGTACTCGTGGCAGGCGCGTGCATTTTCTCATTTCCTTATGTTAGCAACGCTGGTCGTTGGTAGTGCCTTTATTGTTTTTGTTTACTTGTTCAACGCGCAACCCATGACGCGGCGTGGTCCATCCAAATCGGATTCTGAGGGCCCGGCTACGCCTCTTACCTCTAGTGATTTCCGCCGACAGGCTTGGCTGACTAGCATGCAACGGGTCGGTGTTCCACGTCATAGGTTCTTCCGAGAGTGGTATGTTGTTACTTCGAGATGCTTTGAATATGTCTTACGATGTTTCATGGGATGGAAGCTCTACTCATGGGCCACTGGAATCACCGAGGAGGATGAGAAGGGGCGAGTCAAGACTTGGGATATCGCAATTGAGGCTCAACTCACTGGTGGAGATGCTGAGATCAGCAAGAGCCGCCTTGTTCTCACTATCTTCGCTGCCGGCACACTCCCTTGTACTCCCACAAGAATGATAATCAAGGCGTTGCATGTCCGCATTCTCTTGTGGAACGTGGGAGAGGCGGGCTCCTGGTCGTTCCATGTGTCAAACGACATTGCGCGAGCTCTTGCCAGATTCCAATGGGGGGTGGCTCGAGAAATTAATGCTGCGCTGCCTGAGGGTCACCCTGATCAGCTTCCCCCTCATCTTGCTGCTCTGATCAAACTGGATTGCGAGGATGTCATGATTGACAACATTATTCAGCGTGCTGTGAACCTAACATGGAACCGACCCACCCAGGAAGGTACTGGCGACGATGAAGTGCTGCTTGATGTTGTGGACGAGGACCCGGCTATTCAATGTTCCCAAGATGCCCTTGCAGCTTGGTGGTCCAGTCATCTTTTACAAACCGCTCTTCTCAATTATTTCGAAGCAAGCAAGAAGGGCCCGGTGTCCAAGGCAAGCCGGGATGCATTCAAAGAGAAGATTCGCATGTCCCTTGATGTAGCGCCAGAGCTTTCCGCCGCACATACTCGGGCACTTGTGATGAAAGCAGTATTCTTCGAGAAAAACCGCACTGAAAATGTCGGGGCGGTTCTTGCCGCGCTACCGAAAGAGAAGAGAAAGGGCAGTCAGAGCCACTCATCCAACTTCCTTGATTCCTCCCTTCCCGTTTCCGTGCGGGACGAAATATCCATTGCCGTGCGCTGTGCTATGATTGCCACCATTGTCACCGAACGATCCACGGGTGACGCTTCCTCGCTACCCGAGTCCTTCACCATTCAAAAGGCCATCACTTGGTTCAATGAGCTTCCGATCGATCCAGTCGAGCTTTCTCTTATTGGATTCTCGTCTGTCTATCATCTCCTACATCTCCTCGCCTCTGACGTGGATTATATCGCGTCATCCGATTCATCCTCTCCGTCGGCTCCAGTTTCAGAGGCTGCCTCCTCCGCAGACGATGAAGCCGAAGAAAAGTCCCGTCCGGCCCGCAAGTTCTCCATCTGCCCTCGCGATATCCCCAACCTCGGGCGGGTATCAGCAGAACTCATCTACTGGGCCCGAAATGCCTACACCCCGGCTTTCTACGGCTTTTCACCTACTCTTGTAGAAGTCATCGTCAATTCCTGTACAACAATTTGCCAAAACGCGGGCATCAATGTTGATGACTTTGTGCACATCACGCCCGACAAGGCTTTGTATAAGAAGCGCAGGACACGTCGACGCAGGGGAGAATCCCTGTCATCTCAAAGTGACGCGGATCAAGATCTAGTTGATTATCCTGTCCAAGGACCGCCTTTCCGTCGGGCACGATCGGCTAGCAACGACACAGGGTACGGCAGCCTCTCTGTTGAGGAAGATAGGCAGCCAATACCCTAAACCCCTTGTAATGTTCAGGAGGTACCTGGTTGAGATCTACAATGATCCCAGCACGGGTTTCACTTATGCACCAATAATGACGGCGTTTTCGGCTTTTGTATTTCTATATGGTTTGGTTCTGGTCAGGAGCTTTTTGGTCATGAGGGAAAGAGGAGGACATGAAATGGTATCAGGAATAGCATATTTCTACAGACTCTAGCCAAATGGAATGGCATCATCACATTTTTACAGTAAACTCACATATTTGAAACCCGGTATATGAATCAATCAATTTCATACCGATTTTGCTATGGAGCATCATAGTAAAAAGCTGAGGAACTATGTATGTCGGTGTGTCAGCAGCGTTTATATGCGAACATGGGGCGTGCCAACAGACTTTTAAACCTCTATGTATGTTCAATTGCATGCATTTATCAAGCTAAGTTGTTTAACCCGCGAAAATGCATAAGCCCTGGAACTTTATCTCCTCGTCCCTGGGTTATTTGAGTGATGACTGCCCTGGTGCATCACATGAATTTTGATAAGCATGGAAGATCTCCAGGGCTCTACCTAGGTAGACTATAGAGCCAGGGCAACAATTCTGCGTTCAGGACCTTTATAGAGTTGTTGACATCACTGGTCGTGTCTCCTAAACAAAACTTTCTTTCCAAGGTTATTTCCTCCGTGGTTTGTCATTGATTTCTTTTTTTTTTAAACCCCCAAGAATCAGGTTTTACAGTGGATGGCTCTACGAGAACAGCGACATTGTTTTTTTGTGGTAACATTTTCTAACGTTCTCTTCCAATGCTTGGCAGCTTCATTCTGGCGCAGTGCAACATGCACAAGTACTCGAGCTTTCACTCCCCGAGATATTCTGTCGCACCCTATTCATCTTGCACACGTGGCGTATTCGGTTTTCCTAGATTCTTGTCATTTTGGCTAGTTATTCATTTAGTTCAATGTCTCAGCTCTGCTACGACTCCCACTCTGTTTTGGGCAGTTTGTGAAGCAGAATGGATAGCGATATAAAAGGAGACGGGTCTAGAGCTACTGGATGGTAGGATCTGGAAATACCTCGGCGCATTGAGAGAAGAACTATCTGTTCTGAAACTACTCCAAATGTGGGTGATCCCTTAACACGGAGAGACTCGGCTCAATATGGAGCTCGTGGTGAAGGCCGAGAGTCTTTTGGTAATGTCTATCTGTCATTCTATATCCAAGAAGTGTCCAAATATTACTACAAACCATGGCGTCATAGCCACAAGAACCACAAGGTTCCAGGATTATTACGCTACACTTTCCGTTCACTTCACCCATTGTCTCTAACGTTGCAGTTGCATCCCGAGTATCCGAGGCTCCATTCCACGTTGAGCGTCTTGATATCAAATTTGGATAAATATCCAAACATCAAGTAAAACCAACCCAATCCAGGAACCAATACGACAAAGGGGTGATTTTTAATTTCCTCATCTCTTCTTATTCCGAATGGGGGACGAAGAATGCTGAGAGGGACAGCAGGAGACATTCCGTTTTCGGGTTGCCGAACGGCTGTGTCTAGGCCCCTGTCTCCTTGTCCTGTGTAAAACCCCCTAAGCCCTACAGAGATGACAAAGTCCGCCACATTATCCACATACCATCTGATTTGGTCATGACAAGACATCCCGGAGATTTGAGCTCCTTCGCCAACCGATCGCATTACCTCCACTTAAAAAAACCTTGAGCACCCATGCCAAGATCATTTCGCTCGACGTTACACTGACCATATGAGACACAATTCTCTACGCTTTCCATGTAAACTTGAGGCAAAAATAAACCTGCGGGACCTGCAGCGGTCAATGACGGCATGTATATATGGCTGATGATTTGGAAATTAATACAAACGCCAATGATGCATGTTCAGAACCTACTTTCCTTTCCACGCGTTTTCTCAGTATCTTTAACAACATTATTTTGTCCAGACATTGTATTCTCGCGCTTTCTCGGTCTTTTAAGTCTTTCAAAGGTTGAATAATCTAGCTTCATTGTGGTTGACAGTCTCCGTACCAAGTGGATCTGCAGTTCGAGCCCCCCTTGCCTCTCTGAATGGCACAATGGGTGTCGAACTCGAAGGAAATGGCTCGGGGGAGCGGCCTATGAACCCGACGATTGCGGTCCCTCTGTTCGCTGTTGCCGGACTGATAGCAATGTTATTTGTCTGGAAAACCGTCATTCGCATCCGACATCGTCGACGATCAAAGGCGGCACGGGAAGAAGCCGACCAGACGCAACTGTGCCGGACAAATCGGTTCACTGCGGCCCTGAAAAAGCATTTGCTATATGCTCCGATATGGGGCGATCGTCATAGTCGCGAGTTCCGCATGTTTAGGCTTCATATGGGGTCCTTACCGCTACGACTAGAAATGATTTGCCTGTTGATCTATCTCAGCTTAAATCTAATTTTCATTATTGTCACAGTCGACTGGTGGAGAAGTGATTACCCCGAGAAAATGTTCCAGCTCAAATACTCCGCGGGCCATCTGGCAGTCATGAATACGCCAGGCTTAGTCCTAGCCGCAGGACGGAACAATCCGTTGGTTCAACTGTTAGGTATTTCGTTCGATACATTCAATTTCATGCATCGTTGGGTGGGACGTGTGATCGCAGCCAACGCAGTCATTCACATGAGCGCCGTGCTGGCCAGTCAGGCTTATATGTGTGAGTTGCCTTGAGCATATATGATGCAACCATGCACTAATATCGACTTTTCGAACTTAGACGGCAAGGACTATATTATGTATACTATGTGGCAACAGAGGCTTTATACGTGTGGCCTTCTGGTATGTGATATAGTCTACCAGAATTTCAGATGGTCTTCTAACATATATCTCCGTAGGCCATCCTTGGATTCCTTTGCATTTTCATTCAATCTCTGTCGCCGGCGCGACATGCTTTTTACGAATTGTTCCTTCACCTGCACATAGCCCTGGCAGTATTCTCCTTTGTGGCGCTTTGGTATCACCTGCAACACCTGTTACAACAACGTGTGCTTCTTGGCACCTTGATCCTGTGGGGACTCGATCGCGCAGGTCGACTTGGAATACTACTTTGGAGAAATCTTAGCTCAAAACCTACAACTGCCACAGTCGAGATTCTGCCTGGATCTGTTGCTCGCGTTGATGTGGCCGTGGCTCGGGCATGGCGCTTCCGTCCTGGCCAGTATATGTACCTCTATATGCCGTGTCTGGGCCTGTGGACATCACATCCCTTCACAGTTGCGTGGTCGTCGACATCGGAGCCATTTGATGCGAGCGAAAAGCGCGGCTCGGGTGACTCTTTAAAGAATCTTATCGGAGGCTCGCCCACTACAAAAATGTCCATTCTGATCAAGGGCCAAGACGGATTCACGAAAAAGTTGCTCCGGAAGGTCGAAGACTCCCCTGAAGGACGCATTCAGGCTATGGCATTAGCGGAGGGGCCATTTGGTATGGATACCATATCTTGAACATTGACATTGATTGTTGGTGGCTTTAAACATATTTGCTGATACCTCACAGGTGGTATCCATTCTCTCGCTTCATATGGTACTTTACTGTTGATAGCTGGAGGAATCGGCATTACCCACCCAATGTCATATTTGAACGAGGTTATCGCTACATTCACCGAGCAAAAAATAGCTACTCGCAAGGTGCATCTGGTCTGGGTCATCCGCAGTCTAGGTATGATCACCCCTACCGACTTCATATGATTAATTAACCACTAACGTATAAAAAGACCATCTCACTTGGATTCAAACTTTCATGGCCGACATACTAAACCACGAATCCCTAATTGGCCCAATAAGCACGAACGGGCACCCATACTTCCATTTCCCACGACTCCTCCTCTCCATCACCCTCTACGTCACAGCACATAAGGACACCGTCGAGGAATACATACCACAGCCAGATTTGCCATGGATGAAATGCGCTCCGCCCACTGTACCGGTCAGCATATACTACGGCAAGCCTTGTATGCAATCTGTGCTAGAAAAAGAGAAAGCAGAGCAGGTTGGTGCGATGGCGGTTAGCGTCTGCGGTCCTGGTGGCCTGGGCGATAGTGTGCGGGAGGCTGTTAGAAATGTACAAGGGGAAAAGACAGTTGATTTGTTTGAAGAGACATTCTCATGGTAAATGACTTATGTCTATAGATATATTATATAATTACAGCTCTATGAGCTTGGCGTTACGTTTCTGTGTACACAGTTCTGGGTTGAGCTCTATATCAAAACATAATCTGTGAGATTGTACTAACTGGTCAAATATATGTTTTCAACCGGCACCCTCATGTATACATTGGTGTGACACCAGATTTGGCTTGTAGAGAATATATGATCCTTGTTCTTTTCGCTGTTCTTGTCATAAATCCACATAGGTATTGAATTAAAGAGTGTATTTACATATTCCTCCTCCAAGGCCACTTCACGCCCACTTAGGGTATGCGCAAATCGTATGAATCCACATCCGACCGAAATAAGGAACAACTTCACCTAAATCGAAGGCGCGACATCAGAGTTCTTCTTAATAGCGACGCACCGCCGCTCGCAGAGACACCAGCCATATGCACTCCAACACTTCGGGGCCTCTCTTCTGTTCTGCCCCTTGAAAATTGTTTAGCTGGAGGGTATTTCATTGTTCATTACGCGCTCTATGTTGGACAGCGCACGATCTACCAAGTCTTCCACGGGTTCCTGGCTAGATATGCAGGCAGCCTTCGCGTCACGAAGGCCTTGCACCCATATATCCCATCTTTCGCGTTCGAAGCCCTTCCAACCGCGATTTGAATACATTTCTCCCGGTCGGCCATCATATTTGTTGTATTTGCGACCGTTGAGTACATTCTCCCACAGTCTATCACCGGCACATATTAGCCAGTAGCATACGCCGATCAAGCCAGCCGTAGAGGCGGCTTTTTCGGAAGGAAAGCCCTCTTCGAACACATGGCGAAGTCCACAGAGTCCCATGTGAGATAAATCCATAGCATCGTTGATCGAAACCTGCAACGGAGAAGTGTATTCAACCTCGGCAGCTTGCGTCGCTTGTGCGATAAAGATATTGAGCTTTGCCCATCTTATTTGCTCGTCGGGATCCATATCCGGATCACATATGTCTAAGGATTTTGATTAGCGCTACGGAAGAAAATACAGAATCTGATATCGCTTACGTGTCATGCGACCGGACTCGTGGTCATTCCATATTTCGCGGACCCAGAAAGTCAGAGATGGTAGATGCGACCATACTCGGCTTCCATCTTGTGTTTTTAGGACCAACCCGGTCGACGAATCGACGGCATTGTACTGCTTCAATTCTTTCAGGAACTCAATCAATGGACCATACTCAGTCTCGATTTGCATGGCCAGCTCAATGATAGCTATGAATGTTATTGCGTCCGCCTCCTCGATAGTTCCCCCTGGAGCGTAGCTTTCCAGTCTGTCCATCGTCGTGGTTATAATCCATTGTACTGCATCGTCAACCGCGACATTCCCATTGACAAGTGCCTCAAATAACTTGAACTCCTCAGAATCCTCGACCTGCATGCGCTTGAGTGTATCATTCCATTCCATGACGAAGATTAGCAGTTATTCACTGGATGTCAGATTTTGAAGTTCCGGGTGGGCCAGAAAACATTCCAATGTTGTTGCCTCTAGCGCGATTTAGGGCTAACCAACCATTGACGACCGAATAGAGTTTATTGTCAGCAGAGACAGTACATACTATGTTGTAGATTGTATAGGGAAGGAATATAATCTATAGTAATAATGGCGTGGACAAGTAGATTGCTACTATAGTGTAGGTCATATAAAGGTGTTATATTAGAATTTATCCCCCCCCAATGTTTGGAAGGTATTGCGGACATCAACCCCTGGTCAAAGGCTGTGCTGTCGGCTGAATATATATTTGGCAGGGCACGAACTTTGCATTTCCACTCCGTGTATATATCTATCCCAAGTATCGGAAGTTAAACAAAAGAAAAAAAAAAGGAAGAATGAAGAAATGTGAGGGAACAGATGATCTAGATTAGACCATCGCTGTTCAAGTTGAACCATTCTGTGCAACAACCCACTGGAAAAGTTCGGCGATCGAGTTGCTCACCACACCCGTCCGAGGAATTTCATGCCCACCGCCATGATCATAGGTACGACGTTTCGATGGCTCACAAATACCGGAGAGGTGAACACCAGCCGCCCATCGAGGATCTTTCGAGCCATAAATATGCACCGTGGGAACATTGATACGGTAGGGACTAGTTATCTCATTTCGCAATTCCTCCTCCGAGAGCCCGCCGTTTAGAGTCTTGAGACCAGTCCAACGATTCGCACCCTGGGCCAAGAGTGCCGATGAGCCAGCTTGTAAAGCTAACGCAGACCGGGATGCAAGATCACGCTCGCGTGCCTCAGCCGAGACATGGAAGCCCATCTCCTCAAGAACACCCAACGACGCACCACCGCAGACAAAAATAGCCGCTTTGAACGGTGGCGGGAGATGGGGTGTTTCTTCCTGATGGAATAGGAGAGCACTAGAGCCCAAGACGCAGCCTTGTGAGAACATGAGGGCGAGATCGTATGGGCCATTTTTGGCGATATGCTCATTCAGCCAGTTGTAGGCGGCTCGGACGGCGTCGACGCTATCATTTTCCCAAAAGGAGTAGTAAGGTGGACTGTAGAATATATCTACGCCTGCCGCGGCGGCACTCTTGAATGGGCCATCGACAAAATCAAATTCTATGTCGGCGGGAAGTTTAGCGCGGAACGAAGCTGCGCAGTAAGATTAGTTGGCTGGAAAGACCTGTGGACGGGGAAGCTAACAGATTTGGGAGCGGAGGATAAAGCCACTGGTCCCCTTGCCATGGAGACAAAGCACCTTCATGGCTGATTGTGTGTATTTTGGTTGAAATTAGAATATGAATTTGGGGAGGAATTCTGTCGAGTGGGAGGGGTCGTTTATGCCGATAAGCACTAACCGACTCGACCCCGCGATATGCCGATTCGGGACACCTTGTTTCGAACAGAGGTCAAAAGGCGAATCTGTCGGTTTGTACTAGAATAACAGTAATAAATAACAAGATATAGGTCTGGAAATTATTCCCGAATTGCACAAACCCTGGCTTTGCTCACAGTCTTGGCTGATATCCCTTGCGTCAGCCGGGTAGAGTTGATATCTGATATACTCTCCCGTGGCATGTTAGACATTTTTGCATATTGAAAAAGAAACGTAACAAAAACTTGAAGGGTAAAAGGTATATTATGGCCTACATAAGTACACATGTAATTTGCCTGGTGTTTTACTCTGTGTATCAAGCCTAGTATATGTATAGCATATGACACCAGTCTCTGCATATATTCCCAATCTCCCCGGTACTTTATTTCTGGATCTTATTGCATTATATACTGACCAATCCTGACAGGCGAAGTTCATTAATGTGCCCTTGTCGGTGCAAATGTTACTTTTGGAAAGTCAACCAATTGTCTGTCAAGCATAGACCCCTAGGCCATGGGTATGGAAGATATGCGGTCATTCACGCCTTCCATAAAGTCGCGGCGAGAAGCCACGGCAGTCCTTCGTTTTAGCTGAATGATTGATGTAATATCTCTGGATACTTTACAAATTCTTGGCTGCACTCGTGTCCATATCAATTGAAGGAGTGTCAATTGAAACCTATTTCAAATGTTAAACCTGGTTTGCACCTTTTGAGCCTGGATATTCTACCATGTATTTTATGGCCAATTGCTATATAGTTCTAGCTACAGCACTAATAAAAGAGATAAAATATCTAAAAATAAAGTTACATCTGGAAGACTACTAGAAGAACTACTGGAAAGTCTGCCAAAATTACTATCAAACTGACTTGACAAGGCCACATAAGCGGCCAACTCTGTCCTTGTTCAGAGTGAATCGAAAGATGTTTCATGGGATTCCCGTTTGCCCGGTGATAAAGGCTGTGAAGCATATTCCCATGTGGCACAAATAAATATCAAACACAATGCTCCAGGGGTAATGCTGTTCACAAAGGTGTTTAGAGCATCACGGATACAAAGTACATTGAGACGGAGTCGGTGCAATATTTGCAACGAATCCCAGAAAGTGTGGAGATTCTCTTCGTCATAGCCGTGGACCGGTGGACCCGACGGGGCTACCCAGGTGGGCACATAGACCGGGATATTCCCACAATTTGTAATCAGAACAATTGACCCTGGAGAACTATTTAACCTTGAGAAATACTCTCGAGCTCTATATTTCCCAGTTTCTCTTTCTCAATTCCGTTCTATATCTTCAATACTACTTAACATGAAGGCAGTCATCATCACCCAACCCACGATTGCGGGCTTGGTTACCGATCGACCTATCCCCAAGCTTCGCGATGACTATCTTCTCATCAAGACTGTCAGTGTTGGCTTGAACCCCACCGACTGGAAGCACATTGCTCACAATACTCCTCCCGGTGTTCTCGTCGGATGCGATTACTCAGGCATTGTCGAGGCCGTCGGCAAGGATGTCAAAAAGAAATTCAACAAGGGTGACCGCGTGTGTGGACTCACGCACGGCTCTAATGCAGTACAGCCCGAGGATGGCGCTTTCGCCGAGTATATTGTGGCCAAGGGTGACTTGCAGTGGAAGATACCCGAAAATCTGAGCTTCCAGGAGGCCGCTACCCTTGGAGTGGGCATTAACACCGTGGGCCAGGGTCTATACCAGAGTCTGAAGCTTGCACTGCCCACCGAGCCCATCAAGGATGCGACTCCGATTCTGATCTACGGCGGTTCCACCGCCACCGGCAGCCTGGCCATTCAATTCGCCAAGCTGTCAGGTTACAAGGTCCTAACCACTTGCTCGCCGCACAACTTCGATTTCGTCCGCAGCCTTGGCGCCGATGAGGTCTATGACTACAAGGACATCAATGCCCCCGCTGAAATTCGCAAAGCCACTGATAACAACCTGAGGCTCGTATTCGACTGTATCGCGCTGGAGCCCAGCGCTGCGTTCTGTGATAATGCTATTTCCACCGATGGTGGCGAGTATAGCTCTCTCTTGAGCATCAAAATTGACCGTGAGAATGTGAACGACCGCTTCACCCTGGGTTATACCGTCATTGGCGAGGCGTTCACCTTTGGAGATACCCCCATCCCCGCCAAGCCGGAAGACAGGGCTCACGCTGAGAAGTTCGGTCCTATTGCTGAGAGTCTGCTCGCCCAAGGAAAGATTAAGGTCCATCCCCCTAGGGTCGGTGAGCATGGGTTGAAGAGTGTTATCGAGGGTCTAAAGTTGCTCCAGGAGGACAAGGTCAGCGGTGAGAAGCTGGTCTACAACGTTTCCGAGACCCCTGAATAAGACACTATTGTATGTCTACTGCATGATTTAAAGAACCTTAAAGCCATTCTTTTTGTTCCTACATTTCTTGAATTACATGTTTCCCACTGTTGACATTGTCAATGTAGAGTCTTTCTAAAACAAGGCATGGACTTTCAGCTTGTCACCTGCCCCTCGTTTCCAAGTTGTTATCTCAGATCATATTAGCAATCGAGCCATTCTTTTGCGTTTCATATAAAGGGGGCCTCGTATTCTCATGATCCCTCTTCCAACTAACTGTTGTCATGTCAGCCGGGCCGAGAAGGTACTACATGCAAGCCACCAGTAATATATACGGTATTATTTCGAATGAATGCACTAAATTAAACACAGCAAAAGGTACGAGCTGCATATTAAATATCGATTGGTACTAATTATTGGTATTGATATTACCAACAAAAAAAAGCAAGTACTCCAGAGTTGCATTTGCATTAGTGTGTCCCTTCTCGGCCGGGTTGGCATATACCTAACAGGGCAGTTCTAGATAACCGTGCCCACGACCCTCGGCAATGATTATTAATCAGCCCTTTGCCCAAACAGTCCACTCCACTGAACAGGACATCCATCAGGATATGTCCTCAAATTGGTCATGCTGACCAATCGGTTGGATCATCCGCATTAGGTTTCACCGAAAGGAGCATGGATCTAATGTACTTTGTGTATTCAGGTACTTTGTATATGTAGCATATGTACGGAGTAGTAGTATCGAACAATGCGTGTGAAGTATAGAGAAAATTTCATATAAGTTGAAGAAATATCAAATTGGTTCATTCTGGAAACATAACGATAAATAAGAAACTGAATAAATAAGGGCGTGTTGAACGCCTTGGATGCACCAAATTCATGGCCAACTTGACGTTGAATCAGTCAGACAAATGTTCTTAAATCACTTCAGTTCCACGCTCGCATTTGCACTCAGTGATAGCGATGTAAGAGTGGTCAATCCTGCCCGCATCTCAGCATCTTCAAAAGTGAGGGTTGCATTCTTTCCGCTCCCGATGCCCAGCGAGCGCTTCACAGCCTTCCAGCTCTCAACTAACAGCAGGTAGACAATTGTACAACCAAACACCACTCCCCATTCCCAGGTTATAGCGTGGTGCTTGAAGACCACTTGATTGACAACTGGGATATAAATGACCGGGAAAGCAATGACAAAGCCAGCCATGACTGCCCAGAAGAGGAAGCGATTCTTCCAGACAGTGGGAAAGACGGAGAGGGTCTTGGGATTCCGGATCGGATCCATGTTGAATAGGGAACGAGAAAAGTGCTTTACCTCCCACGCCGTAACAAGGAGAAGAAATGTGAGTGTCGCATATGTTGTGGCGCGAGCGCGGAACACTGTGTTACAGCTTGGATTGTATTCCTGATTACATCCATCGCCTAAAGAGGACGTTCCCGATGCTGCGGCGTATATCACGCAGACAAATGAGACGAGGCAAAGCGCGCCCATAAAGGTTCCGTATATCATCTTATCCACGATGAGCTCGCGCGTAAAAACACCTATGCGTAGGTCGTGTGGTGGTCTGTACATAACATCTGGCTGGGCCTCTTCAAGTCCAAGACCAACGGCCAAAAATGAAGACGTAACAAGATTTGCCCATAGGATCTCTAGTGGGGATAGAGGGAAAACCGAGTCACCTCCCTGATCTTTAAAAGCAAGAGCTATCAACAGGAGGATAACCTGTGCAATGTTTGAAATGAGAAGATGTAAGAGGAACTAAAATTGTTGTCAGTAAAGCAAATTAAGTATTGATGGGGATATTTTTACCTTCTGAATGTTATCGAAAAGTCGTCTTCCCTCTTCAACTGCTTTGACAATAGAGGAGAAGTTGTCGTCCGTCAAAACCATATCGGCAGCCTCCTTGGCAACATCGCTACCATTTTTGCCCATAGCAATGCCAACATCGGCCCTTTTTAGGGCAGGTGAATCATTGACACCATCTCCCGTCATGACACAAAATGCTTGACGTCGATGCATCGCATCTACCATCCGAACCTTGGTGGCAGGGCTGCAGCGTGCGATAACCAGAGGCAGTTCCTCAATCGCATCAATTTCTGCATCTGTCAATTTGTCAAATTCGTCTGCGGCCATTACCAGCCTGGTTGATTTGACGTCTACCGTGACGCGGTCAAGAATACCGACCTCTGACGCAATTGCTGTCGCTGTTTTAATGTGGTCACCAGTGAGCATGTGCACTGTGATCCCTGCAATTTGGCATCTTCGTACGGCTGCAGCTGATTCAACTCGAGGAGGATCATAGAGTCCTACAAGACCCCCAAATTGTAGGTTTGATTCAGCAGAGCTTCGCGGGGATATTTGAGATTCATCGTCGACTGCAGGAGTTTTATATGCGATGCATAACACGCGAAGTCCTTCACCCGCCATCCGGTCGGCCGTGTCTCGGATGGTCTGCTTTTCTGTTTCATCAATATTGAGGTAAGGAATAATGGTCTCCGGGGCACCCTTGGTGTACACCTCTTTGATCCTATCCCGCAAATTTTCATAGACGACGGTCATCTTCTTGATAGCAGAATCAAATGGATATTCTGTATGCAATTGAAGCTGCCTTTTCTTCATCACGGAATCTTTTCCAAAATCAAAGCGCAAAGCCAGAACGTGAAGAGCAATTTCCGTTGGTTCACCCAAAGCACTCCATACTTGATTATCATGGTGGACAGTGGAAAGGTTGCAGAGAGCAAGCGCTCGTAGGAAGGTATGCAGTGCAGGATTATCTTCGATGGGTTGATTGGAACTCCAATCAATCTCATCTAATTGGACCAGACCACTGGTTGGGTCAAATGGATCTGTAGTTTGGCTCACAGTCAAAGTCCCAGCACCAGGGATCCATGCAGAGCGGGCTATCATCTTTCCCTGAGTCAGTGTTCCTGTTTTATCAGAACAAATGTTCGTGACACCGCCGACTGCTTCAAGACATTGCAGTTTTCGGACGATTACATTTCCTTTGGCCATTGCTTTTGTACCCACAGCTATTGTGATAGTGAGGACAGCAATCAACGACTCCGGGATAACGGCAACAGCAACACAGATACCATATATGAGAACCTCGCCTTGAACGTCCCATTTATTGACCGAAAAGACAATAATGGCCAGCAGAATTGCCAGTCCAAAAAGCAAGAGTGCGAATTTGCTTAGCTTCACTTGCAATGGCGTGCCAACTAAGCCCAGCACGTTCATGAAGAATGCCTTCACCCGTTTTCCCACCTTAACAAGACCGCTTGAGTCACCAAGATTGGGCTGTGTCTGTAGTAGTTGTGCAATCTTCCCAACTTCTGTATTCATCCCTATTGCGGTGACTATTCCCATTGCACGACCCTGTGTAGTGCTGCAGCCAGAATAGGCCATATTGGTTCGATCGCCGATAGGGATATCAGGCAATGATAGAGTTACATGAGGGGTTTTGAGGATGGGAAGGGATTCTCCTGTTAGAAGTGCTTCATCCATTGAAGCATTCATGCCATCAAACAAACGCAGGTCGGCGGGAACAATATCTCCAACCGATAGCTGGACTATGTCGCCAACAACTAGTGACTCCGCCTTGATAGAGGCAATGTGACCATCTCTGATAGTCTTGCATATTGGGGCGGAGAGACGGTGCAGCGAAAGAATTGTCTTTTCGGCACGGTAGTCTTGTATAAAGCTGAAAGGCAATTGTTAGTCCAAGTATCAGACGAGGTTTGATTCCGAGATACTCACCCTACAACTATATTCAAAACAATCACTGCAGTTATGACACCTCCCTCGATGTAATCATCGATTCCAAAGGATAGGGCCATAGTGATCACAAGAACCTTTAGACTGTGTTAGTTATGTTTTTTTTTTTTTGCCATTGATAGATCTATGTGGCCTAACATACTAATGTCAGACTATTAGACACCTGTCTTAGCAGTATCCCCCAGACGGAGACACCCTCCATTTCACGCACGGTATTCGGACCATCGCGCTGGAGACGGGAGGCCGCTTCGGTGCTAGAGAGTCCATTTCTGAAGTGTGTGTAAGTAAGGAAGCCTGACTATAGTAATGGTACACTCAACACTGACGCACCGGAGATCTGTGTCGAGGAGGGATGCGAGCTCAGATGGTTCTATGAGATGGGCGTTGCGGTCGGGCCCTTCTTTACTTGGTTGGGGTTCCAAGGACACAGTATCAGTCCTATGAGAGATAGGCTTTTCCTCGGTAGCGCGGGGCTTATGGTTTGTCACATTGGGTTGGGGGTTGGTTTCCGTAAAAGGACATATAGGAGGCTCCGTCGATTCCTCGACATCGGGGGTTATCTCTACGCCCATTCAATAAGCTCTGGGAAAGAAAGCGGCGAAAATAAGTTAGATGGTCTTTAAATCCCCTGATGAGTACCGGTCAACTTTGAGAGTAGGGAAAAAGTATCTTCGCACCAGGGGGGAAAAGTGGAAGTAGCAAGATGAAGGGCCTAAAAATGGAATTTGTATGCGAGGAGCAGCCTTGTACATAAAACATGCGCACATGCTCACTTTTCGCTTTCAAATAGAAGAGGGGATTACCCAGGCTGTGAGGGGCAGCCTTGATCATATCGTGAAGCTACGATATCATTGGGGCGACCTATTGTCAGAAATTCTTGGCTTCTCTGGGCTAATACATAGTCCAGTTAAATCATGGGACCTCCAAGATCCTTGCATTGGGATTGGGTGGTGTGTCAGTCCGGGGTTAAAGCCACAATGCATTTGGCTTCTGGGCAGTCGTGGCGTGCTATTCCTGGGTTAAGGCTGACGCGGGCTTATCGGGATCCCAATGATGCCCTCTCGTACTTTGGCTGTTGGAATCTCTATTCAGGTCATACCTGGGTAGATAACGAGCCAAGTACCGAACAACAGTAATACTCCCTTAATTAAAATCGGTGGTTCCTCGAAATTCATGACTGCATCTTCCTGTAAGAGCACAGCCGCCTTGCCAATCCTCGGCTAATTAGATGGGCTGCATTCCAAGAGTT